CTTACCTTGATCTGCAATTCAAATCCCACGTGAATACCTTCGCAAGCAATGCCAAAATCACACAGACATTGAGTCCAGGTGCCGCACGGAACGTTGCACATGAAATTCCATGCGCAGCCCACACATCACCCGGGAACACACCGCCACTCGTCCCATAACCCTGCGCTAACGCAAATTCGGTTTATTTGGTTTGAAACTGATGCGTCAGAAATGGAACACGCTCCCGCTCCAAGTTGCCGCGCTTTTTTTCATTATGTCTGGATATTGGGCAAAAAGAAAATGACGTACGTTTTAATTCATGTCAATATTTCCAGAGAACAGTTCACCTCAAAATCAATAGCAAGTACCAAACATCATTGATACTAATTGCAGACTGCTTCTCCTTCAGCATCGTTTCTTTATGTTAATCAGTGCCGCTTTACCGTCGAAATGACGATTGTGGTAAATATAATTTTTGTATGTATCATATTTTGATTACATTTAAAAGAACCATCGATATCACGCGGTTTCCCGGCAGATAGAAAATCATCTCTACAGCTGACTACGAGCACAGACTGAAATACGTATTTTCTTTGATGGTTTCTTAGGAGCCACGAATAGGTGACAGCTGGAAAACAATCTAGCAATAAGTGAGAAGTCGTCGAAAAGCTCCAATACAATTGGGTCGGGTTGATGACAACTTATGTCCTGTCATTGCTCAGTGAGAGAACTGCTTTAAGGGAGTGTTCCAAATTTCCACATTTCTGGGGTCTGTGGTGCTTAACAGGAGAGTCATGAGTCGGCTAATGGTCCCGAGTCGGTCATGGGCTTTGTTTGAAGAGGAGAGGGCCACTCGGAATCAAAGATCAATGACCAGACTGGAAAGGCTGAAGGACCCGAAGGATCGGCCACATTGCATTAGGGACGCCCCGCGCCACCCGAGGGTCGTGACCTCAAATGTCAGTCAGAGGGCATCTTGCATCTATTGGGGCCCCTGGCACAGCGCGGGCCTCTATTTTGGCCAGAGGTCATCGACACCGAGCAGTCGGTTACGTGCTGGTCAGAGCCCTCGGGCCTATTTCCCAAGGACAAGGCCTACGATTTACATTCGTCGGGACCCCACAACAATGCGGGGCCCCTGTATCGGTCAGGGGTCAACAGTGCCTAACAGGGTGTTCTGTGTCAACAAGGGGTTTCGGGTCGGCTACGGGAGGACTTGCTGAACGGGGCTGTCGGGGATGGGGACCCCGAATGCCAGAGGGTCAGAGGGCCCTCTGACAATGAAAGGAAACAAGATAACGTATGATAGTGCTCACACGAAAGCAGTGGAAAGGTCCTGTGCCAGCCAGGGCCCCCAGTACCGAACGGCGGGCCCTCCAGCCCAATTCCAGCGTCGGCCCGTTAAGACCAACTGGGGTCTATGTGCCAATGATTTGACCCCCTGCAGCGATTAGGGATGTTGTCGCTTCAATGAGGCTTCCTGCGTCGATCCGCGGCCAACTGAGCGGGCCAGAAGACCCCCTGTGTTAGAGAGGGGACTTATGTGAAATGATGTATCTCTCTAAAAACCTCCGGATCGACCAGCGATCCCGCACCGTGTCGCCAGTATGACAGCCGGAAGGCACTCAGCGGTGGGACAGAATGCTCCTTAGGCCCATAACCAGGGACATTAATGTGCCCCCTAGAGTGCTCTCCGGAGACCCCTTGCCAGGAACGAGTGGGGGCCTTCTAAGGGCTCTCATAAGCGTTGAAAAGAGTGGGTCGAAATGAGCTAAAACAATGATCTAGTCCATCCCATGTTTGCCCGAAAACGTTCTTTCTTTTGCAGACTCGACAAGGGAAACAAATTACATCAAAAGCTTTCAGCCTGCGCTGTTGCAATCTCGGAAACAAGGACAGCGATGGCCAGAATTGCAGTTTCTGTAAAGCCGAACGGCGTTGGCCGCTGCAAGTAACATCAGACGGCGCATGCCGCGCGTGCAAGAACGACCGTCGTGAAATAATGTTTCTGGAAGTCTTTCAAAATTCATTCGCACCGCTAAAAGATTAGACCGGGCGTACCTTCGTTTATAACTTTGAGGTTGTCCTCTGGACATATTAACAATGACAGCAATGCGAAAGATATGAAAACTACCTTTACTCTTTCAGGTTCATCACGAAATTCCAGGAGCAATGCGCGGTGACGTGAAGGCCAATCCATTATCATCAAGTTTAAAGCCGCCCAGGTGAAATATCCGCTCAGACCTTCCTTTAAAATGTGCGATTGCATGTCTTTAAGTGTTCTGAGGTACTTCTTCCAGACGCGTAAGCATAAACGTCCACCCGTTGATCAAGGCTCGGCCGCAGGGCCAACGCTTCGTGGGCTATGGAAACTGCAACGCTTGGTGTCAATATTGTTTTATTTTTGCTAAGGTTTGCGAGCGCGCAAGTTCAAAGCTACGTTACGTAACTCAAAGTGCTAATTGGCTCTTACTAAACATTTAACATCGCCATGCAAACATGGCACATGGCTTGGCCATGTTAGCGGAAATTGTTTGCTCATTTCTGTCCACAACCTACATTCACGGTGTCCTTAATCACTTTGCGGAACCCAGGTTAACATTTTGACAAAACTTCTGGCTTCTGTCGGTTTCATGTGTGCCATTTTTTGCAAATGCTTGGGGAGCGGGCCTAGTTGAGGGTCTGACGACCTCTCGCCCCTCCCCCTCGTCGGATTTTTTCCTTATCGAATAAAAACCGTCGTTAACGCAGCAGTGAAGATATGCTTTTTGTAACAGTGCAGAAGAAAATACATGTGCGATTGATAGGACCGACACATGCATGCTCGTCATCAATTTGTTGTTGCGCTGGCTGCGGTGCACGTAAATTTCCGTTGAGTGGATGTACGTCATATCATGTAAACCATTTTTATGTTAGGCATACTGGCTCTTCACCAGTATAACAACGATAAATTGCCAGCCTACAAAATAAATTTGATTTATGTGCGTTGGATTGCGCATTATTGAATGGCATCATTATCTGCTGCCAGGCGCGCAGTGAGAATCTGGTAAGCGGGGCACAGGGCTGACGAAGGCTCCCCGCATAGTAAAATGCCCCTCCCCAAAATTGCCTAATATGTCCCACTTGTTGCTGAGGGAACGTTATATGTATATATATATATATATATATATATATATATATATATTACCTTTAACTTCTGTAACTAGACTGGAGGACATGCGCTACCGCGAGATCAAATCTATCTGATGATTATAGTTAATAAACTGAAAAAGCAGGCGCTTTAACCACTACATCGAATATATCGCCAACGTTTTCCATTTTACAGTGGTCCAGTGGACCTTACTCAACCCAGCAGAACTCAGAAACGTTGTTAGAATTTTTTCTGGGTTGTACACAAATATGAATGGCCCGCGAATATAAGTTGAGGATTAAAATGTTTCAACCATTTATATTAGCATAGCCAAACTACGTTTGGTTGGGAATGTTCAGGAATTCAGTCAGAATTGATTAGTTAGACAAACTATGCATGGCAGTTCTGAGCATGCACGCTCGCTTGTCTTAACAAAAACCCGACGCCTGACGTTGCAGTCTCCATTGACTGCGTACCGTCGGCCCCGCAGCTAACACCAGGTCGTGGTCGACAATTGGATGAAAATGATGACGCATTTCACAAAAGTACCTTTGAACACTTTAAATGCGCAAACGACATATTTGGAGATATTCCCGGCGTATATTACACCCACGCGATTTTTAGATTGATGCTAATAACGGATTGGTGTTTAGAGCATCGTGAAGTGGTGCCGGAATCTGGTGGTGGAACTGGAAGAGTAAAGATAGAATCTCTATTTTTCGTGTTGCTGAAACTGTTAGTCTGTCCAAAGGACAACCTCAAAACTATAAGAAATATTCGCTCAGTCTACTCTTTGAACTGTTCGAAATTATTGTCAAATACATTCAGAAACATTATGTTACGATGGTCGATGTTACCCTCACGGCGCCCGCCGCTTGGCGTTGCTTGCGGCGGCCAACGCCGTTCGGTTTTACGGAAACTACACCCCAGAGCATCGCTGTTCTTGCTCCGCGATATTGGAGGCGTGTCATTGGGGCTTCACAACGCACCCAGTTGCTGATGCTATATGGCGCCGCCTGCCTCGCACCCTGGCAGGAAGGATGGGGCACCGCGAGAAATCAAGCCCCGTGACTCCGGCTTCCCAGACGCGCAACGGTTAACGCAGGCTTCACCATCGGCAACCGACCCGTAGGCTCAAACCTTTTGGTGTTGTTTGTTTCACTTGTCGATTCTGCAAAGGAATGGATGTTCTCAGGCAAACATAGGATGGCCTTGTGCGGTTTTGAACCCATTTGGCTCCACCCTATTGCGAACACTGTCCTGCCCTGTTAACGATACCCGGTCATGTTCAGAAGAAACGTTGAGCAGCCACTGGGCGCGACGTAGTTATCCGGTCCCGAAGCGAGGGTGCCCCTGGTGACCAGAAAGCCCACACTGTAGGCGGCCAGAGAGCCCAAGGCTGCCAGATGGGACCTATTGAGCATCCAGTGGTAGTGCTGCCTGAAATTTTGGAACTGTCTGAACTACTTTTCTAGAAAAACTCCTCACAGAATACAGATCATTGCATTCTTTAGTCTTCATTTGCCATAGTATTTCACGAATTATCTCACTTTCCCGCTTACCCCTATATTTTTTTCCGGTGTCCAGCAGGTCATGGCTTCCTTGAGGCTACTAAACAAAATACGCAACAGAAATAATGTCACCTTGAATGTCGACATGTGTGCCGCATGCACGGCATTTTGAAATTGGCGGCCTCTACGTATGTTTAAGTCCACCGTGGTCGCAAGTGGAGCGTTGGGGACGTCGGTTGCCCTGGAACTGTGGTGGTCACGTTGAAAGGGTAAGATTTGTCATTCATATGGAACACTTGATGGACCTACTGTGGATGTTTTTTTCGAAATTAGAGCTCATTAAGTACATTTAAGTTTATTAGACTGTGGTGTCCCAATCATCAAGTCTCATCCATATTCGTGTTCTACATTGTGTTTGATACATTTACATTTTGTAAACAGTTAATCTGTTCACAGTTTCCAAAACAGGTGTTTAAGCAGTGCAGAGCAATGCACATGAGTGAGGAAGGCCAATTTGGGTGCATTGGCATGTACAGCTTTCTGTGAAAAATTTGCTGATTCCTTAGTCTTTCACAATTAGGTGGTGGAAGTCAGGCCGAGCAACAATCATGGATTGGTGTAAACACAAACTCTTAAGTCATTCAATGAAATGGTTTGATGAAATCTTGTAGCTGTTAGCCGTGCTGAGCCGTTTGTTTAAATAACAGCCCCTAGGATGCCTTCAATGAATCCAACTATCACTTTGAAATTGGTTGTAACTGCTAGTTTGAATGAACCTGCAACACAGGCAAGACAGAACAAGGCACTGCAAACAATGTGCTTTAAGCTGGACATGTCCAGCATAGCAGCAACATGCTGCAACTTATCAGTGTGTGCATGTTGTAAATATGAGTACCCTGCTACCACCAATTTTAGTGTGCAGAGAGCCAATTTTCTAAGAAATTGCAAAGATAATCTCACACAGAAGAAACCCCAACAGATTTTGCAAGCAGATAGCTCCAAAACATTTTTGCAAGCAAGACTGATTTGAAATTTAGTACAATCTGGCTTGCCTTGAGGTTGGTGCATGCATGCACATTGTTCATTGGACTGATATCATTCAGGCATTCAGTGCACTGGATTAATATTTTTTTAGTGACCAGTCTGCCAGGAACAGTGCAACATTGCTTATCATAGTTTTGTTTGAATAAATTTGGTTTGAACCTTTTGATTGGGATGAGTTTCTTGAATCTGTGCCCGCACTAAACAGGCCTGTGAGGCCTCAGCCCTATCATCCTGCTATGAAATTTTGTGGACAGAGCAGAATTTTCCATCAGAACTTAATATCTGCAATTCCTGCCTCAGTCAGTTCTGCCCTTTGATATTTGTGATGTTACCTGACCTTGCATGACTGTCCTCCTCTAGGCTATCATAGATAAGGACAGAAAATAAGTGTTAAATCAACTCCAAACCACCCTGCTCACCAGTGTGTAGATCAAAAGGCAGCCATTCCAGCAAATGGAGCTATCAGGATATACAGTTGCCCTATATGTGTGTGGTTTAATTGACAGAGATTTTAAAGGGAGTGTTCCACATTGGTGTGGGGTTTAAAATGGAAGTGGCCATCTTGAAGATTATTTGGTGCAGTTCACGGCCCAGCCCTGCTCAAGACCTGAACCTTGCTAGTATCTGAGCATTATGCTTGTGAAGAAATGTAGGTTTTTTGTGCAGACTATTTCAATGTCACATGAGTGTCTATGACACCAAAATAACATCACTCAAATCCCACCATTCCAATTGCCATGAGGTGGTTAAAGCCAAGAAAAATATAATAGTTTAGTCATTCACAGCTGGCATTCTTGAGCACCATTTTCAGATATAACAGCTGTCAATTGTCTGTCTATAAATGTTGTGCAAGGTATGAGAACACCATCAAACAATGCCTTAATGAGGACCATATTTACTAAATACAGAAATTGTGTTGTCTAGAGGAGTCCTTGCCCTTAAAAATGTATCAGCAGTGATAAGTGAGCTAATTTCAGAGTATTTGATGCTTGCTTCAATATCTTTAAACATGGAACATTCCCATTTGATAGCAAACACACTGCCTTCATAGTTTCAGGATAAGCCATTTTATCATCAAAAAGGGTATGTTTAGAATTTCAAAACCCCAATTTGCTGTGATTCCATATTTAAACTTGGCAAAAGACCTTGTGATTTGCCATCAGCATGCAAATTTCATGCTTCATTTCTTGTCTTGACAGAACACCAACTCCAGAGCACCCCAACAGCCCCTGCAGGTCAGCATGCCCTTCAGCTTCGGCACTACCCCGACCGCGCCGGCTGGCGGCGCCTCCGGCTCTTCGTTCGGTGTGCCGGCGGCCGGAGCCACGCCCGGCTTCTCATTGGCGGGCGCCGCTGGCGCCTCCTCCCCCGCCGGCGGCTTTTCGTTCGCGTCGCCAACTGCGACGGCGGGAGGCGGTCTGACGCTGGGAGCGGGGGCCGGCGCCCCCGCCACCAGCGGGCTCTCGTTCGGAGCCCCCGCCGCCGGTGGCACCACCGCTGCACCTGCCAGCGGCGGGTTCTCTTTTGGTGCCCCCGCTGCCGCGACGACAGCCGGCCAGCTGTCGTTTGGAGCGAGCGCCGCTGCGCCCGCCGGCGGCGGGTTCACGTTCGGCACTCCCGGGGCGTCGAGCGCCGCTGGTGGGTTGTCGCTGGCAGCTCCCGCTGCCGCCCCCATCACCGCTGGCTCCTTGCTGGGAGCGCCTGCCACAACCAGCGCAGGGTTTGCATTCGCGGCCCCGGCTGCCTCCAGTGCGGGCGCTGGGCTGTCCCTGACGGGCGCGGCTAGCGCGGCGCCGGGCACGGCGCCCGCCTTCGCGGCCTCTCCATTTGGAAAGCCAGCCGGGCTCAGTACTGAGACTGCGGCCACGACAGCGGGTGGCTTTTCGCTGGGGACGCCGGCCGCCATCACATCGGGCTTTTCGCTGGGAACTCCGGCTGCTGCTACATCTGCAGGAGGATTCTCGCTGGGGCCGCCGGCCGCCACCACGTCTGGCTTTTCACTGGGAACTCCGGCTGCTGCTACATCTGCAGGAGGATTCTCGCTGGGGGCGCCGGCCGCCACCACGTCTGGCTTTTCGCTGGGAACCCCGGCTGCCGCCACATCTGGAGGTGGTTTCTCGCTGGGGACGCCGGCCACCACCACATCTGCAGGTGGTTTTTCGCTGGGAACTCCGGCTGCAGCCACATCTGGAGGAGGTTTTTCTCTGGGAACACCGGCTACAGCCACATCTGAAGGAGGTTTTTCGCTGGGAACGCCGGCGGCTTCCGCCACCCCGGCATCCGGTGAGTGTGGTGCAGCGTTTCACGAATAGTACTGTTTACGTGCGCGGTCATCGCGACCGACCGTCACCTGGCGGTGCCCGACTGAGTCCCGTGTGGGAAAGGTGGTTGCATACTGGTCAAAATTGCTCTTGAAGTTTTGAAGTGAATCGAGAGTCTAGAAAGCTGGGTGACCATGTATCTCAGCGCTTCGGAACTCGGGCGCACGGGCCGTGGCGGCCTCTGGTACTCGATGTAGACGTTGGTCTTCGTGGCCAGGTTCTTGGTCACCAGAATGCCGCGAACTCGGTGCATGCTGTTGATGTGTTGAGGGAGCTCCGACCGCTCCTGCATGTGACGACGTTGTGACGCGCGTTGTGCGCCGCAGGGGCGCCGGCGAGCAGTGGGGGGCTGGGCCTCACCGGCTTGGGCTCCACAGCCACCAGTCTGGGGCAGACTTCAGCCGCAGCTACCACAGTCACCAGGTGAGCCTCCAGTCTGAACACGGACACCAGCGCCACTGCCAGTCTCACCACGGAACGCAATGGGAAGACTCGGTTCGCCTGCCTGTGTGTTTGTTTCGCCTGTATGGTGGCTACAATGGAAGACTGCGGCTGTGGGATCGAGCCTGGGCGGGGATGGAGTGATCTGACGACGTGGTGTGCCCGTCAGCACGACGGCGTCGGCGCCCGGCTCCACCATGACGTACCGCCAGCTGGAGGAGCTGATCAACAAGTCCACAATGGACCTGGAGGAGCAGGAGAAGCGCCTGCTGACCCAGGCCACCCAGGTCAACGCCTGGGACCGGCAGCTGGTCAACAACGGACAGAAGGTCGGCAGCGCGGCGACCTGAGCTTCAGGCGGTGGCGTGCTCGTGGAGGGAGCGGCGATGCCGGCGCCTGTGGATGCCGCGATCGGTCTCAGGCTGTTGATTGCAGAGGAAATAATTCCCCCAGGATGGCATCGAACGCATCGCCGTGGTGACAATGGAGATTGCTGTTTCTTCTCGCTTTGCCCTGAGCTGAATAAGGCCGCCGCTTACCAGGGTTGCCACCAGCGAGCAGCGGGTCTTTTGCGCGCTCTTTGAGACGTTGCGCAGCTCGTTTCGTTACCAGTTTTGTCTGACCATTTGAGGGCATCTGGCTGATAGGCACGTCCCCACTGATGTCCGCGCCTCACCCCGGCCAGATCATGGACCTGAACGAGGCCGTGGAGCGGGTGAAGCTCGACCAGGAGCAGCTCGACACCGAGCTCAACTTCGTCGCCACACAGCAGCACGAGCTGGAGGAACTGCTGGCACCGCTTGAGCGCGCCGTCGAGTCGGCCGGAGGTAGGCAATGTGGCGGGGTAGGAGCTAGTGACGCGTGGAGAGGTACCGATACTCGGGCGAAGCGGGGCGAGACTCAGGGGACGTGCGGGGAGCCGGGCGGGGCTTAGGGGACATGCGGGGCCGGGTGGGGTGCGGACGCCCGGTGGGACGTATGTGGTGACTGGGAGCCGCTCAGGTGAGCGCGGCGTACCGTTGGTGTGCTCAGCTACGGCGTGCTCCGGAAAACGCGTTGATTTTGCTGCCTGCGATGGAGCCGACTTGCAGCCATGTGTTTCCTGGTTCTGTCTTGTAAACGTTTGCACGTGACTGACAGTCATACGTACCTGCTGGGATGGTCGGATTTTAAAACCCCGGCACGCATGGCTGCCAATGTGGCGCATGGCTGCCAATGTGGCCCATTTGACCGGACGTGATGTTTAGAGCACTCCCCATCTGACCGGACGTGGTGTTGGGAGCACTTCCCGTCGGACCGAACGTGGTGTTGGGAGCGCCTCCAATCTGACCGGACGTGGTGTTGGGAGCACTTCTCGTCGGACCGAACGTGGTGTTGGGAGCGCTCCCAATCTGACCGGACGTGGTGTTGGGAGCACTCCCAATCTGACCGGACGTGGTGTTGGGAGCACTCCCAATCTGACCGGACGTGGTGTTGGGAGCACCCCCATCTGACCGGACGTGGCGCTCTCGCCGCGCCGGCGGCGGGAGCGTGTGCCCGGTGCACCGGGCGGCTGACCTGATCTGACCTGGTGTGACGCAGGCGCGGTGCAGCAGCACCCCGACGTGGAGCGGGAGCACACCTACCAGCTGGCCGAGGGCATCGGCGCCCAACTGAAGCGCATGTCAGAAGACCTGCGCGAGATGATTGAGCACGTGAACGCCGCCAACAAGAACCAGGACGAGAACGACCCAGTAAGAGGCCACCAATCCCTGGACGCCGCCGCTCGGTCGGCTGGGCGGAGGGCTTCCTATCGTCTCTCTGGCTCTTAGGGGCGTCTGCGCCGCTTGTCGGCTGCGACACGGAGCAGGGCGTGCCGCTCTGTCGCTGTCCCGTCGTCGGCATCGCCGTCACGTGACCAGTTATGTCGCATCGGGGGAACGGTGCGAAGTTTCAGCGAAACCGTCAGGAGCTTTGCACGTGCGTGGAACTGCGGCGGAAGAGCTTCTTTTATCGTTGCATGGTCAAGGTAGGATGACACGTGATGCTGCTGGCGCTCTCGTCGAGCGGTGTTTGTTACCTCGTCGCACTACGTCGCGTGGTACCGGCAGGCCGGGTGCCCAGCCATGGCTACGGGTGTGGTATTGGTAACATGTGACATACCAGGTTTGCGGTGCACGCCACTTGATTTCAGTGATTTGTTATCTAGGGGTAACACGATTTTCTTGGTTTACCATTGCTCTGCGATGCCCTGGAAGCGGTTTATAGAAGTCCAGGAGCAGTGTTGGCGTCATCACTGGCGTCGGCTCTCTGGCCCGCCGTTCACCTGCTCCGCCCGCCGCCAGATGGTGCAGATCTCCAAGATCCTGAACGCGCACATGGACAGCCTGAACTGGCTGGACGAGAACACGACGCAGCTGCAGCGGCGGGTGGACGAGACGAGCCGGCAGCTGGAGCATCGGCGGCTCGAGCAGGAGCGTGCCCTCCGGCGCGGCTTCGATTAGAGCCGTCGCCGCCGCCCGCCCTGGTCACGGCCGGCGGACCGGTCGGCACCGACAGCGCACCGCCTCGGGTCAGAGACAGACTGGCGTCGCCCGCCTGACCCCGCTCACGCCCGTGAAAGCGGCGTCCTCCCGGTGGTCAGGTCACGTGCTCTAACGGCGCGGTATGGCGCGGAACGACACGACGCCTCCGCTGCTGGCCAACCGGGCGCCCTTACGGAGCGCCTCGTGGTCGCCTGAAGTGAAGCCGAAGTGAGAAGTGCGGGAAGTGAGAGCCGCTGCGTGTGTGCGTGTGCGTGGTGTGTCGGCGCCTGACGCCGTGCAGGACGATCGCTGCGAGGGCCGCAGACGTCCCGACGTGACGCGCGGCGTCGTGGGTCGTCACGGACGTCGTCAGTGTTGAACGTCCTTGCAGTGATGATGTGCCAGGTGGTGCCCGCATCGTGATGATGTGGCAGGTGGTGCCCGCATCGTGATGATGTGCCAGGTGGTGCCCGCATCGTGATGATGTGGCAGGTGGTGCCCGCATCGTGATGATGTGGCAGATGGTGCCCGTATCGTGATGTGGCAGGTGGTGCCCGTATCGTGATGATGTGGCAGGTGGTGCCCGCATCGTGATGATGTGCCAGGTGGTGCCCGCATCGTGATGATGTGGCAGGTGGTGCCCATATCGTGATGAATTCCGAGAGGACTCTGGGGTGAGCGATGCGTGTGCCGCTGACCTTCGCGCTCGACATCGCCAACGAAAAAGGCCCGGTGTTTTGTTTTGGCAAATAAATGACTCGTCTAGAGAACTTGTCTTTTCTTGACTGAATGACACGTCTTGTCTCCCCCCCCCCTTTCCAGAGCTTATACGAGAGCCTGCACGAGATTCCGAATGCGTAATTCGAGAATACGTCGGTTCCCATTTTCGTGTCGTTTGTTGGCGACGCTTCCCTGTCTCTACAAGATCGTTGCATGATACGCATTGCAATGCAGGTTCGCGTTGAACACAACAGCAAATCGTGGGCGTCCCTGAAAAACAACCGCGGCAGTTACGAAATTACACTAAAGACACGGGTGGGAGATTGCATTTCAAAGAACGGATACGAAATTGCGTCTTCGCATAATGCCACAACACGCCTTAGTGCGGTGGGGTTGCTAAATTGCAGTTGGCGGCATCCTGCTCGTTTGTAATGTGATCTTGTGTAAATAGCACAGCCGGTACCGTCCGTTATATTTAGCGGGTGTAGGGCATAGGGTATCTTCCCGAGCTGGTACTCTGGTGACGCTGATTGGTGTTTTTTGGTCGTTTCGGCATCCGACGTTGTTCTACTGCCCAACCGTATGAGTTGATTGGTGGCCGGCGTCTTGACTAGCGGAGGCTGTAGTCATAAAACACGCCCAGGCTAGGAAGTCCGAGGAAAGTGGGCCCGGACATCTCACGTGAAAGTTGCCCCCCCCCCCCGCAGCTATTTAAATGAGTGAGAAAATGTTTCATACACACCGGATAACGAATTTATCCGCATCCATGAACTGGAATACAGACTAACTCATAGCGTCTCCCATCCAGTCAAAACTCAGCATAAAACAATGACTCAAGCACTTAGAGGTCATTCAGACGGCAATAGAATACCAGATGCCCTGCATTTTGCTCTCTGGATGACGCACAACAGCCACGGGCACTGCAACCAAAATATATTTGGCAGCTCTACAGAACACATAAACTGGATCACCTCGTGACGTACGGCCTGCAGCAGATCAACAAAAAGGAACGGACGACCTGTAAATGAGAGCGCTCCGATGCACATGCATGGGACGTGCGCAGGCGTTGACCTCGTCTGTTTGCTTCCCGCCAGATACTGGCACCACACGTCACCGTCGGGGAGGCCGCCGCCATCCGGGCCGTTAGCAGGACCTGGTGACACGAACAACACACCCGCCCACCTGACCATCGCGGCATCTGGCTGTATCACAAACAGCAGCCGCGTGTCACGTGAGCGACCAGCACAGCCCTGGCAAGAACACTCAGAACACACAGAGTCGTCTGTTTCAACTGCTTTTTCAGCAGTTTCGCACGCAGCCATCACGGGCAGCTGCAAGACTCGGGATTACCCAGATTTCAATCCCCAGCAAGTCCATTTAAGCATGTCGAGATCTGAACCAATGACATCCTCGGCCTACCATGAACTACTGCACCGAACGACGCAAACTGTTATCAAAGCTGACCACATCTGCCTGTGCATGTGGACATACCGATCAAAAAACCACAAAAAAACACCGTACAAAAACCTATCACATCATCTCTCGCCGCCGCGCACCTGTGGGCGGCTAATCAATCACAATGACGTCATCATCGGCGGCGGGAGGCGGCAGCGGCAGCGCCGTGACCGAGATGGAGGCTGGCAGCGAGTCCACGCCGACCGAGACGGCTTGTGAGCTCTGCAGGCTGGCTGAGAACGACGGCCGGGAGCGCATCGGCGCCGGCGGCGGAGGCGCGCGCTGGGCAGACTTCTGCGGCCTTTGCGGCGGCGCCGACGCCTGCGGGGCCCGCTGCGGACCCGAGGACGCCGGCTGGGCCCGATGCGGGCCAGAAGACGCCAACTGGGCCCGCTGTGGGCCAGACGACGCCGGCTGGGCCCGCTGCGGACCCGAGGATGCTGGCTGGGCCCGCTGCGGGCCAGAGGACGCCGGCTGGGCCCGCTGCGGGCCAGAGGACGCCGGCGGGGCCCGCTGGGGCGGCCGCTGCGGCGCCGCCGGCGGCGGGCCGCGCTGCGGACCCGAGCCGGCCGGCGGCTGTTGTGTCCAGGCGGCGGTGGTGGCGGACGGCGGCGCGCGCCTTGGGCCACCCGCCGCGCGCGGCCCCGTCACCGGCGTCACCGAGGCGCTCCACTGGCCGTGCGACGAGGCGGCGGCCGGTAACCGCGGCCGTGCCGGCAGGGCACTGGGCGACAGCTTCTGGAGCGACACCACCGGCTGCCGGATGGTGGGCCGGTGGGCAGGCCGCGGCCGCGCCGGTCGGTGGGCGGGCGGCGCGCGCGCCAGTGGCGTGGCCGAAGCCAGCGGCGGCGCCACCGGCGTGATGGAGAGGCCGCTGGCAGGCCGCGCGCGCCAGCTCGGCCGGGATGGTCGCTGGCGCTGGCCGCACCGGCGTGATGGAGATGTTGGCGGGCAGGGCGCGGCCGGCCGGCTTGGCCGTCACCGTCAGGCTGCCAGGCAGCCGTCGCAGGCCGCCCGCCACCACTGCCGCCGCCGCCGCCGCCGCCGCTGACGCAGAGGAGTCGGTGCGCGCACCTCACGCAGCAGACCGGTGGCCGAGGCGGTCGGTCGCGGCCGGCGGCCGGTGATCGGCGCTCGGGGCCAGGACGGCCGCGGCCCGGCCGGCGCCGCCGCGCCGGAGACTGCCGACGGCGCAAGCGGCGTGATGCTGACCGAGCTGCCACCGCCGCCCGACACTGACACAGCCTGTCCGCCTGTCCGAGCCGGCGACGACGACGCGCTGCCGGCCTGCGACACGGCGGGAGCGGGCGGTCGCGACGACGACGCTGGCAGCGGCGGCTTTGGCGGCCGTGGATGCGGTGCCGCCGCCCGTTTCGGCAGCCGAAGATGATGTGCGTCCGGCCGCGGCCGTCGGCCCGCCCCTCACCGTGATGGACATGTTCGGGCATGGGTCCGACAAGGCCACCGCGTCTGCAGCCCGCGCAACCGGGCCAGCGGACGGCCGCGCACGGCCACCGCCGGACGCTGCCACCACCGCCGCCATCGGCCCGACGTGGGATCTGTCTGTTGCCGTCGGCCGCGGTCTGGCGCCCTCCCTTGTTGTTGCCGCTACAGCCGCAGGCTCAACGGCCGGCACGAACACTTCCTTCACCGACAGCGACTTTGGCACGGCGAGCGACTTGGGCACAGCCGGGCTCCGGGCCGGGGCTGGAACTGGAGTCGGGGCTGGAGCCGGGGCTGGGGCCGGGGCTGGGGCCGAGGCTGGGGCCGAGGCTGGGACCGGGGCCGGGGCCGTGGCCGGGGCCGTGGCCGGGGCCGTGGCCGGAGCCGTGGCCGGAGCCGGAGCCGGAGCCGGAGCCGGAGCCGGAGCCGGAGCCGGAGCCGGAGTCGGAGCCGGAGCCGGAGCCGGGCCCGGGACCGGAGCTGCAGCCGGAGCCGAGGCCGGAGCTGCTGCCGGAGCCGGAGCTGCCGCCGGAGCCGAGGCCGGAGCCGCGCGCCGACCGTCGTCCCTTCGGAATGCGTCGGAGAAGCGAGGCCCAGCGGGGGCGGCCGGCGGCGTCGGCGAGGCGGCGGCCGGCGGCGCCGGTTTGCTGTCCACCGGCACACTGGTGATGGTCAGACCGGCGTGGGAGAGCGCCGCCAACACCGACAGGTCGGCGCCGCTGGAGGCCGCTGCCGACAGCGGTGCTGTCGTCTGCCGAGCCTCATCGGCCGGCTTGGCCGCGGCGGTTGGCTTGGCTGCGGCAGCCGGCTTGGCTGTGGCCGGCGCCTTGGCTGCGGCGGACGAGTCGGGTGGTGGCGGCTGCGCGGCGCGCTGCAGCTGCAGCAGGCGCCGGTAGGTGGCGTCCACGTCGGCCTGGAAGGGGCGCGCCCCCAGCTGGCCGGCCCAGGCCTGCTCCAGCGTCAGGCCAGTGGACTGCGCCCGCCTCAGCAGCTGTTCTGCCTCCACTGTCGCCTGCAGCTGGCGTATCTGCTGAGCCATCGTCACCGGGCTGACCCCGGCGGCGGAGGCGGCGGCGGCGGCGGTGGCGCCACCGGCCGGCCGGCCCCTGCCTCTGCCGCCGCCCGTCAGCGGCGGCCGACCCCGTCGACCGGAGCCGCGGGCCACCGCCGCTGACGTCGACGCCTGTCGACCACCCGACCTTGTTAGCGCAGCACCACTGGTCCCAAGAATAACGCAAATCACCGCCCAACCAGCCCGCCATTAATACAACGCAGTCATGCGATGCTGTCCACGTAAAGTGATTGCTAGCTTGACTCGATCCACGGCCGCCTTCGGCGTATACGGAATACCCCCGCCCGCGTGCGGCGCTACATTGACCAGTGCGATCGGTGTGCGTAGGCAGTGTTGCCCGCCAGCGTACCTGCGCCTTCTCCATGCGTTTGCGCTCCATGGCCGCCTTGCCCTCCTCGCAGAACTTGATGGCCTGCTGCAGCAGCGGCGGCTCCGCGTCCACCTGGCAGTGGCACGCGCGTCACATGGAGCGCTGGCACAATGGCTAAACGGCACGGCGGGATGTGACAACTGAGGTGTTCGTAGGTCGTTTCCGGCTGCGCAAATGGAGTCACAAAGGCAGGAATGCGGCCTTAGTCTGTGTTACATGTTCCTTTTACAGAAGTATGTAAAATTCAAGGTATCAGCAGTATCTATCATCTTGCAGCACACTTATACGTCCTCATTATCTTTCAACAGATTGTTTGGAAGATATTGCTTTGGCAATGTTCCTTGCATACTAATGCGTTTTTAAAACTAATTGTTAGATAACGAATTCATACATCTGGGCATTAGCCCAGACGTCTGAGTGCCTGGGCAGACCTCTGGGCGTCATCACAAATGGTTGTAAAAGGACTAGTCAAGTCGCCCCGAACCCCCCCCCCCCCCCCTCTTGACAGGGCCAGGGTTAATGCAAATGGTATGGACCCATCAAGGGAGCTGTATTTTTGATCGGGACTGACCCCATCGCAGCGTCAGAGCTCAGTGCATGCTTTTCAGGGAGGCCCGAGGTAAGCCGGCCCACACGGCTAGACAATTATAGCAGACACCCATCTTTAACACTGGCCGTGCTACCAAACAGTGTTCATGCCTGTCGGGCCTGCTACAAAACTGTCAGGTGTCTCAAGAGTCGTCCACACGCTGGTCCCGGCGGGCGTACGGCCCTACCTTGCCGCCCCGGTACTGCTTGAAGGTCTTCTCGAGCAGCGGTGCGATCAGGGGGCGCCGCGCCCGGCTGGCGCCCGTGTACGCCTCGTGCAGCTGCATCAGGAAGTAGAACCGCTTCACGCCCGGCACGGGGGCCTGCGCTTTGAAGAGGCGCTGGTAGGTCGCGCGCGCGCACTGCAGCCCCATCTTGAAGGCGTGCCCCGCCAGCTGTTCGCGGTCCTTGTCCCGCAGGTACTTTCTGGGGTGGGGGTCGTGACCGTGCGGTTGGTGCAGTGACACGGGCAGGACGTCTGACAGTGGCCGGTGAACATCGCAATGTGATCGAAGTAGGACGGGAGGGGGGGGGGGGGAGGGGGGATATTCAGGCGGGACACATCCCCACAACGGACTGAGAGTGCGGTGGTGAGTGCTTAACACATTCACAGACAATCCAGGCTGTCTTTTTAAGTTATCATTGTGACAACGCTAGATTATGCCTCCTGCTCTCCATACACCACCTGGAGTAAGCTGGAGCGGCAGGCAATCAACAACTCTGGCGATGACTCACTCAGCCTGCCACCAGGCTCCAACCGAACAGGTCTCTGGCATTCATTGGCAATATCGTAGTGGTATAACCAGGCTCGACTAATTCAATAATATGCAATGCGACTGGCTGTAACATACGATGGCAACGTAACCACATACTAGGAGACATGAAATCAAACTTCAGCACTGCAAAACACGCATGAGGAAGTTAACATCAGCTAAGTCTGGCCTAAAACAGACCATGCAGTTCACTCAGCAGCTTCTTCCATTCCCGAGCAAAAACCTCACCACGGACCTGTGAGGGATTGCAGCACACGCCCAGCCAGCTCAGCACACCATCCCTGCACCAAACACCACGTGCTCCTCGGCTTCCAGCGCCCCCAGTTACCACCGCTACACCAGTCCCAGCATCAGTTATAGCTCCCCCCCCCCCCCCCGTTACCACCGTTACACCAGTCTCGGCACCAGTCATAGCCCTCCCCCCGCAGTTACCACCACTACACCAGCCCAAACACAAGTCCCAATACCAGTCATAGGGCCTTGCCCCTTCCCCCATCTACCACCTACTACACCAGTCCTAGCACCAGTTATAGCCTCCCTCCCCCCCCCCCCCCCCCCCCCAGTTACCACCGCTAAACCAGCCCCAGTACCAGTCCCAGCACCAGTAATGACCCCCCCCCCCCCCCCACACACACAGTTACCACCACTACACCAGCCCCAGCACCAGTTATAGCCCTCCTCCCAGATACCACTGCTACACAAGTCCCAGGACCAGTCGTCATCCCTCCGAGCTACCGCCGGTTCACCAAGCCCGGCCTCGAACCACAAGCCCTGCCAAGATCCCGATCTCCCCACCCACGTGTGATTCTCGCTTCCCGACCCCCACCACCACTACGTGTCAGCCTCAGTGGAGACCCAGACCCACTTGCTGGCCTCGGGTGAGGTACGGAGCCAGCCGGCCAGCTGCAGCAGCGTCTGGAAGTCGTCGGTCGCCTTCAGCACGTCGACCAGCAGCGACACGGAGCGGTACATGTGGGCCGCGAAGCTGCCCGGACGGTCCACGTCGTCCACCGGAAACCGCCAGATGCCCTGCGGCGAGCGGGCGCGCTCAGCTGGCGCGGCGGCGACCTCTGGCGCCCAGCGGCGAGCGCGCGGGAGCGGAGCTTCGCGCCGCAAGCACGCATCACACTTCCAGCGGGCGCCAGAGACGAGCGGTGTCGATGAACGGCCCAGGACAAGCCTACGCCGAGGCGCGCACCACTCACCACAAGTCGCAGAAATGCCAGAGGTGCAGACCAGAGACGACGTCCCCGACGGAACACGGCCAATGAGGACATTATGGGAGCACAACCAGCGAAAACTCAACCAAGCTATGTGGGTATGTCTAAGACAAGTATACAACATGTACATGCAAAGCATCGGATAAACGATGACAACCTGGGAAATCGAAAAATGAACGGGCGTAACAGAGAATGGTTACGCAGAGGTACCACCGGGCAGTGGGACGCACGTTGAAGAAGTTGGTGTCTTTTCTGTCCGCGAACAAGCCGGCCGTGGGCATGTGCTCCTTGGCCGGCCAGTTGTGACATCCGAGCAGCAGGTCACGTGCCCACTCCACCCGCCTGCCGCAGACCGGTCAGGTCAAGTCAGGTCAGATCAAACAAATGCTGAGAACATCTAGGACCAGGATGTTTGCACGTTTTGGACAACCAATACCTGACGGGCATCGGTGCCAAACATCGGCCACAAGATGGCTCAGATACCACTGAGTTCCACCTTTCAACAAACTTGTCTGCAGCAGGGCAATGCCATGCTGAGCTTTTGGCTTGGGAAACCAAAACTGGGGTTTCTACTACAAAAAAAACACCCCCAAAAAACGGTAAAACGCAAGTTGCTTGAAAACATACCGTGCTTGTTGTTATTGATAAATGCTACCTTTGACAAGTTTAAAAGACGAAAGTTTCAAAACGCGACCTAAAAGACGAATTCATAAGACAGTGAGGTCGAAGGAGCAAGGATTGACACAGCTACTGACCGGGCGCGCTTGGAGATGAAGTAGTAGTGCGCCAGTCGGTACACGCTCTTGTAGTGTTCGGGGAAGCGACGCACCACGCCGTGCAGGGCCGCCAGGCAGCGGCGCACGAGCGTCGCGGTGTCCGGCTCCTCGTCCGCGGGCGGCGGTGGGCCGGGAGCCGCGGCATCAGCCGGCGCCGGCGGCGGGGGCAGCGGCAGCGGCAGCGGCGGCGGCGGCGGCGGCGGCAGCGCGGCGGGGGCAGGATCGGCCGTCCCGTCTTGGGCAGGACCGCCGGCCGCGGCACAGGCAGGACCGGCCGTGCCAGCGTCGGTAGCGCAGCCGCCCGACAGCCGCGTTCGAGCCTCCAGCACAGCCTCCGACAGGATGCGGTCCGACAGGACAATCTGCGAGGACACAAAGCGGCGCTCGCATGTCCGACACTGGGAGGCGAAGCAGAGCAACAGGCGCGCTACCGGCGAACATGCAAATCAGCATCATCAGCCTATTCGAAACGTGACATTATCCAGAGTATCTCAGAGCCAGGAGCGCCTGAAGTTTGCAAATGCCTTAAAAATACTGGCACTGTCTTACGCTGCATTTCCCATTGTCCCTGACCCTGCCACAAATCTATGCACAAGGTGATCCATTATGGGCAAAGTCTGAGCGACTCCCTGCTCTCCAGCCGTTCGAAGCCGGGTGCCGCGCAGACGGCCCCTGAAGTGTGCCGTCCGCCGGCGCGGCGGCGCGAGCCTCACCGCACAGCGCGTGGCCGCCTCGTCGCGTCGCAGCCGCTTCACCTCGGCCGGCTGCTCGCCGTCGAGCGCCGAGTGCGGTCGCTTCTCGCCGGTTCGCTCCTGGTCCGGCTGACTGCGGCACGCCGGCCGAACAACACGTCAGGGCGGCGAGCCAGCGCCGGGACAGGGTCAGGGGACACGCCTCAGCCAAATGACACGTCAGGGCGACGGGCCGGTGCCGGGTGTCGGGACAGGGTCAGGGGACACGCCTCGGCCAAATGACACGTCAGGGCGACGGGCCGGTGCCGGGTGTCGGGACAGGGTCAGGGGACACGCCTCGGCCAAATGACACGTCAGGGCGGCGGTCCGGTGTCGGGTGTCGGGACAGGGTCAGGGGACACGCCTCGGCCAAATGACACGTCAGGGCGGCGGTCCGGTGTCGGGTGTCGGGACAGGGTCAGGGGACACGCCTCGGCCAAATGACACGTCAGGGCGACGGGCCGGTGCCGGGACAGGGTCAGGGGACACGCCTCGGCCAAATGACACGTCAGGGCGACGGGCCGGTGCCGGGACAGGGTCAGGGGACACGCCTCGGCCAAATGACACGTCAGGGCGACGGGCCGGTGCCGGGACAGGGTCAGGGGACACGCCTCGGCCAAATGACACGTCAGGGCGACGGGCCGGTGCCGGGACAGGGCCAAGGGCCGCATCTCGGCGGGACAACGCGGCCCCACAGGCGGGGACGGTGCGCTGCGTGCTTAGATACAGGGGAGAGGATCCCGGCTGGCGGAGCGGGAGTGGCAACATCGACTTTCACTTAGGTTACAACACTGCACTGCAGCCAGCCAAAACAACCTCCTGCCACTTCTCGCTTTTACCGGTTTTTACTCGTTGATACTGCATACACTTGTGGCCAGCCAAAGCTAGTACCTGTTACTTTCCCGTTTTATCGGTTTTTACTGGTTGATACTGCATAAACTGAGAGAAGCCCAGACAGCCATAATGTTCTCTAAAAGTAACAGTCAACAAAAGCAGCAACAGTGCACTGCGAAAACGACAGTATGATAAAAATATATCTTATACCTGTTACGATAAACACAGAAATTAGCATCCGAACGTGCGCAGCACGGTCACCGACCATGGCTTGTGCTCCAAAGCTGGTCCTTTTACCAGCAGTTGTAAACTGTTACAACTGAGGTATGGATTTAACACACAGTAACTTTCAATCATACATGGCATCGTGAGGAGAAATTTGATAGACCTAAGCACAACAAAATCTGCACCAAATGAGCGGCTTGCAGAAGACAGCTCAATTTTTGCGCACAAGTACAACACGACCTCCGAATACAAGTGGAAGCTGCTATGTTGTCTGTTTCCAGGTCTGACTTAGTGTGCGTGTTCGCATGAAGGAGTGATGGTTTGAGACTCAATCAAATAAACATAAACAGCAGGGACAGGTTAATAATCAATCACATTTCCTACCGCAAAAGTTTGTCTCAAAACAGCCAAGACAAACTTCCGGTCCTGGGTCTTCCTCGGGCCCTCCTGCAGCAGACCCGAGGAAGGCCCAGGGCCCAAAGCTGGTCCCCGCTATTTTTATCAACTAGCCTCATGAGACAGGCTTATCATCGCCCAGCTATGTGCGTGCTCGTGTTTGCTTTTCTATGATGTGTCTCCGCTGTGTACTTACATCAGTGTAAAATTCGTATTCTGCATAACCACAAAGCAGGAGTGCAATGTCAACCAAGTGTATCCCGATGTCAGGAGAGATCATGTCAATTTGCAAGTCCTTTTCATACAAATATGAACTTTCTAAGAAACTGGAATTTAGCATGCTCGTTATCAGATGCTATGTCTGTCACGTATCCCACGAAGTAGCAGCGGCCCATGGATCACCTATCACCTGACAGACCACGCTGGCTTTGATAATTTTCATCAGCACAGGTGCGTTCCATGCCTCTGCTGGAATGACAAATATAAGGCAGAAAGGGCACCGCGCTAACGCTAGCGATCTTTAACACAAATTTGGCACGTTATTAAGCCTGTTATATTGGACGAACAGTACTGCAACATGGTCTGTCCTGCCTGGATTTTTGCCAGTTTATGTCACTGTTTTTGCCACCATTAGTCTCTGTCAGTCGGTTTTAACCGGTAAAAACCTGCCAGATACTGTTGCCGGTCGAGGTTTGTCGGCTGCCGACAACCCTGCAGCGTCGCCTTGAAAGTTTCGCCATTTCTGTATATCCGCCTCGGCAGCTTCATCCCGTTTGGTCCCTTTCATCGACATCCCCTACATGAGTTTACGTGGGAACGGTTCACAACTGCGCCAAACGCATCCTAGATCACCAATTAGCACCAGATGACCGCACAGCGCTGCTGATACGGACGACTGCATCAAACACGCGCACATGGCATTGTTATATAGACTCAGCTGCGAGGAGCGCTGTACACCCCAAGGTTCGCTCTGAGGCGTCGGGGAAGAGGGGGGCGGGGGCCTGCTGACCCACCAGGGCAGCGCTCTCACACGCAGCTGTAGCGGCGTCCCCCCTCCCTCCCCCTCCCCCAAGTCGGCGGTCACCCGGCGCGGCCGTCCCGAGTCGCACTCACAACGCCCAGCAGGAGCGCTGCATGGTGTCCAGGTGCCAGACGATGGCGCGCCGCAGCTCGGCCGCCAGCGGCTCCTGCTCGTGCCGCAGCAGGTGCTTCAGCACGGTGGCGTGCACGCGATAGTAGACTTCGAGCGCCTCCAGCACCAGGTATGGCGGGTCCTGGTAGTTGATCTTGCGCGGACACACCACGCCCGTCTGCTGCAGCAGCTCGTGCGCCTGGCGGCGGCGGCAGGCGGCGGGCGGTCACGGCAGGCGGCGAAAGCGGGCGGCGCGACGCGGCGATTGAGGGCCCATATGGAACACGACACGTAGACGAGGACAGAAATGTGACGTGTGTGGTCAGATCGCGAATCGCACTGGCTGTCAGTAATCCGACCGCCTCCGCTCAGGACGGTTCTGGCCACCTTAAAGCCCGCTTATCTGCCCATTAAAGTTAACTTAACAATGCGTTCCTCCGCTGAGCGCCCGTGGTACCATGGTAACGACCGGGCGGGCGTATTGGACGACAGTTTCGCTAAAGCAAAGGAACTGGTAGGTGCTTTAATTTCAAAATATTTCTAAAACAGTCGTAGGAAATAACACGACATGCTGAAAAACTGCTGAATGACGCTTGATGCATACAAGACATGTATTTCGAAAACAAATTTACACTAATTCGAAAAAATCAAGATTCAGCCATGCGGGCACACTCACTCCATGGTATGCAGACCTGCCGTGGCCAGGCGCGGCCGCACACTCCTCACGGTAGGGCAGGGAAGGACCGCACGCTCCTGAAGGTAGGGACAGGTAGGGCCGCACACTCCTCACGATAGGACCGGCTAGGGCCGCACGCTCCTCAAGGTAGAACCGGGAAGGGCCGCACGCTCCTCACGGTAGGGCCGGATAGGACCGCACGTTCCTCAAGGTAGGGCCGGGTAGGGCCGCACGTTCCTCAAGGTAGGGCCGGGTAGGGCCGCACGCTCAAGGTAGGGCCGGGTAGGGCCGCACACTCAAGGTAGGGCCGGGTAGGGCCGCACGCTCCTCACCTTCTGATAGTGGGCGAGCACGCGGTCGACCGGCTGGCCGTCGCGGCCGGCCATCTTGCCCAGCATGTAATGGTGGAGCCAGCGGTCGTCGCAGGCCTCGCCCTGGGCGGCGTCGGCCACGGCGATGGTCTCGGCCTCGGTGAAGCAGAGCCGCGCCTGGCCGCTCAGCCGCTCGGCCGCCGACTCCAGCAGGCTGAACGTGGCCAGGTCCAGGTCACTGCTCGAGTCCTGGCGGCGAGCGAGTGCGGCGGCGGCCGGTCAGCATGCGCGGCGGCACGCGCTCAACCAGCTACCGATGATGCCCTGGTCTGCAAACTCACCGCGGTTGAACAGGCCGACTACGACGCACCGCGAAATAACACAGATAGGAAGTGAAGTAACCCTGATCAATCATAGCGTTCATATTGTACTTTGGGATAGTACATGGGCATGACGGTAGTTTGTATGTCGGTGGCACGATTGTGCAAGACCAATGGTCTCATCTGAACTGGTCTGAATTTCTTTTTACCAGCTCAAGGGCTTTATCAGCTGCCATTTTTAGGCAGCCGAAAGGCGTATCATTCGGATGCGGTTCAAGATGCCTCACGGATGCACAGACGCAGCGCAACTGACTATATAATACGGGATAAATAGTCCACCGAGATAAAAAAAAAGGCGGCAGGCTGCCCGACGGCAGCCCAGATCTGCAGCCAGTGGCCGGCGGCACCGCAGCGCGCCGTCCTGACGCGCCCGCCCGCTGGCTCTAGTCTCCACGTCGCCGGTGGCGTCCTCACCTGCCGCAGCAGCCGGTTGGCGTGGGAGCTGAGCATGTAAGAGAAGGTGCCGAACTCCAGCCATAGTTTGTGCAGCTGCGGGTCGATGTGGAGCGCGCGCTGATAGCAGCGCACGGCCGCCTCCACGCGCTGCCAGAGTCGGGCGGTATCGGCGCGCGGCTCCTCGCACAGGTTGAGCTCGCGCTCCACCTGACTAGCGCGCGCCAGCGCCATCGCCGCCCACGAGTCGCGTCGCTCCGGGTTGATGCAGAGGTCGCGCACGTAGTACGGCAACGAGGCCAACTGCGGCTCGATGCTGTCCCACTGACGATGTTTGAAGTTGAAGTCGGCCACCAGGTAGTAGAGGTTCTTGGTGACGCTGGTGGCGGGCACGGGCGGCGGCGGCGGCGGCCGTGACGCCTCCGGCTCCGTCACGTGACGCTCCATCTGGTCGGCGAGCGCGTCCGGCGAGCTCTCGGCCGGCACGAGCGCCATTACGCGCTGGAATAGCACCTCGTCGTCGGCCGAGATGCTCGCTTCGCGTGGCGAGTCGAACAGCGGCAGCTCGCACGGGCAGAAGTAGTAGTACATCTGGGCGGCGCGCGACCAGGTCAGCGTCACCGGCGGCACGTCGTGCTCCTGCAGGTGGCGCGGCCGGCCGCGCCGCTGCGGCGGATGCCCGTACAAGCAGAAGAAACACTGTTCCAGAGCGCGCCGCACCTGCTCGTCGTACGGCAGGTCGTCGGCCACGTCTAGCGCCGCCAACAGCTTGTCGGCGCAGCGGTGCAGTAGCGCGCCGCCGTCGGTGCAGCACCAGGAGCGCGCGCCGAGCGCCTCGTGCGCCGACACCAGGAACCGCAGAGAGACGGGCATCTGGCGCGGACGCGCGCCGCCGCCGGCCGGCCGCTCGTACCGCACGATGGCGTGGTGCAGCAGCAGCCACGGCTCCACCGTCTCCAGCGGCAGGATGAGCACGTCGAAGCTGTTCAGCTGGTGCACCACCAGATGTAGCATGTTCTCAGCCAGCCTGCAGCGGCGAGGCGCCTCCAGCCGCTCGGCCCAGTCGTGGCCGCGTTCTGAGCAACCGCGCAGCGCCGCGCATGCGCGCACCAGAGCCTTGGTCCAGCGCATGCGCTCAGTGGGCTCGTCCAGGGCCAAGTAAGCCTGCAAGCTCTCGTGCAAGCTCGCCTCAGCGTAGACGGCCAACTCGCCGAGACGACCCAGCCGCTCCAGCGCGTCCACCAGCATGACCAGCTGGCGGCTGCGGTGTGGCAGGCCGCGGCCGGCGGCCGGAGTGCCGCCGGCGCCCACGCCCGTGTCGGCCAGCACGTCCACCACCTCCTCCAGCCGCTGCTCGTCGTACAGCCGCTGCACGCCGTCCAGGTCGCGGACGCGCTGCAGCATTGTCAGCTGCCGCTGCACGGCGTCGGCTGAGACGAGCGGCTCACAGGCGCAGTAGGGCAGCCGGAGAGTCGGCCGCCGCTCGGCCGGCGTGCGCGTCAGCAACTCGTGCAGCTCCTGCAGCTGCGCGATCGCCAGCGGCGCGCTGCCCTGCAGGCGCAGCAGCTTGTGGCGGCACCAGCCGAAGCGCAGCAGCACGGCCGGCTGCTGTGCTCCCAGCACGTCCTCGCGCAGCACGGCGAAGCCGAGCATCGCCAGTTCGTCCTCGGCCTGCTCCAGCTCAGCGCCGGCGCCGCTGCCCTCGGCCATGGCGCGGTCCACGAGCAGCTCGGCGTACAGCAGCGTGACCAGTGCGTCCCCGCGCAGCTCTCGCGCCTCCTCGGGCGTCACGTCCAGCTGCAGCGGCTCGAAGGGCGCGCGGTGCGGCCGCGCCAGCTCGAACACCTGGCAGTAGAGCGGCGCCAGGCCGGGCGGCCAGCGGCGGTCGCGGCGCTCTTCCAGCGCCGCCAGGAACGACCATAGCAGGCCGGCTACGCCGCCGTTGTCGGCGTGGTCGACTAGCCACGCCAGCACGTCGGCCCGCTCGCCGGCGTCGAGCGGCTCGGCGCCGTCGGCCGCGTCCGCGTCGGCGCCCTTGCAGCGCGGCGACGCGTCGCCCACCTTCATCGTGGCGCGGTCGAAGCGCAGCGCGGACGGCACCAGCGCCGAGAAGAGCTCGCGGTAGTTGACAATCTCCTCACCCGGCACCGGCTCATCGCAGCGCAGGCCGCCGGCGGTGCGCGCGCGCTTACTGCGCCGCTTCTCGGCCGGATCATTGCGCGGCCACATCTTGAGCGAGTCGAGGATGGAGCGTTTGCGCTTCACCGGCCGGCGGCTGGCAGCGTCCGGCTCGACGGTGGCGTCCGAGGTCAGCTCGGAGCCGGCCTCCTGACCGGCGCCGCTGTCGTCGGCCGCCTCCTGGTCCTCCTCCTGGCCGGAGATGCGGTCTTCGCGCGCCTCCTGATCATCGTCCATTTCCTGACCTGGCGGCTGGTCCTTATCTGTGCCCTGCCCCGGGCCCTGCTGCGCAGCTGTCTTCTGGTCCCCATCATCCTGGTCCGGGACGTGTTCCTTGGATGCATCCCGCTCCACGCACTGGCTTTCAGCAGCTTCCTGGTGCTCATCCTCTTGACTCGGGTGAACGATCCGTGGATGTCGCCAGCTTTGGGTCCCTGCACTTCGCCTGCTTCCTCGCCACCACATTCCAGCCGACGGGCAGCCGAGTGCTCAGGTTCTCCTTGTTCCATGGCCTGGTGCACGTCTTCTTCCGGGCTGGCGCCTGCGTCCGGGCCCGGCTGGCGGTCCTCAGGCGCCCTCTGCTCAGCGGCAGGGTTCTCCTGACCTGTGACATCATCAACAGACGCCACCTGATCCTTCTCCTGGTCCCCGCCTGCCTTCCAGTCCGAGTCATCATTCTTGCAAGCCTCCGTTCTCGCCGGGTGGTGCACAGTGTCCCCGCGCGTCTCCCCGCAGGAGGCGTCCGATTTGGCTGCCTCTGTTCGCTCTTCGTCGCTCTCCAGCCGCCGCTGCGCAGCACCATGCTCTTCGTCCAGCGCGGCACCCGGAACATTTTCCTGACCCGCCACCTGAACGGTGCCATGGTCTCGTCGTGGTCCAGGCCCGGAGTCCTGGCTACCGCCGGGCTCCTGATGCGCGTGACGTGTATCGCTCGGCTCAGGACGCCGCTGCCAGCCCTGATCCGCCTCCTGATGCGCGTCTTCACCCGAGAACAGGTCCGACTCCTGGTCGCTGCCCGGCTCCCAGCCGCTGAGGCCGTCCTCGCGCGCCTCGTCATCCTCAGCCATATCCACGTCCATGTGATCAGCGTGAGTACCATCCGCTGACTGAAGCCCCGGGCATTGAGCCTCGTGCGCCTCTGAGCTGGGACGTATCTCCCCAGCCTCTTCTCCATGGCGGGGTTCGTTCCTGTCCTCCGCGTGGTCCCGTTGTGTTACCCCGTGATCACCACCAGTCGTCGCCGCATCATTGTGCCCTTCCAGAGCCAGGCGAGAGGTCTGCTCCAGCGCAGGTTCCCCCTGACCATGGCTGGACTCTGGCGCCAGATGCTCGCCGAGATGTCGGTTCTCACCCGCGCGGTGGGACCGCGAGCCGTCCCCGACAGTCCGCGAGCGACTCCCTACCTCCGTGCCGACTTTACAAGGGTCAGAAGGCTCCTCGTCGGCGCGCGGCGTCTGCTGAAAAATGTCCTGACTGGCGGCATCGGACTCCGCTTTGTTCGGCTCAGACAACTGACCATTCCCACACTCCTGCTTCAGGTCCAACTGTCCTCCCTCGGGGGAAGTCAGCGACGCAGAGCCGTCTTCAGTGGTCGCTCCTTGAAATCCCATGGACTCCCGTCGGCACGAAGAGGATCCACTAGCAGTCATTAGAACACCAGAAGCACCCTTCACGTCGCCCGCCAACTCTAGGACAGCAGATTCCACACGATCGCCGTCAAAGGCAACGCCATCATCTGCTCTGCCTTCACCTTTGATTTCCGCTCCGGTGACCGCACGCCTGGTGCCGCGGTCCTCCTCCAGCTTGACGGCGTCCCACAGCATGGACTGCGGCTCAGGCGTTGTGCTGTCCTTCCCCAGCTCCGAGCCCTGCCACTGGCTCGCCCCACGCCCTCCCTCCCCCACAGCGGCACTCCTCCGCGCCGATTTGGCAGCGCGGTCGATGCGGAAGCTCTTCAGCCTGTGCAGCGAGTTGGTGCTGCTGGTCCTCGCACTCGACGCCGCCGCGACCGGCTGGCTTGCGAGTCCCGCACACTGACCTTTCTCTTGCTTCCTCGCATCGCATCCCTCCCCCTGAGTCACCGCCTGCTTCCTGTCCTCTGCGCTGCGATGGGCCGGGCACGAGCCGGGCACCGCCTCCGCACTGTGCCCAGCCTCGACCGCTGACCGATCGGTGCCACCGGTGGCTCTCGCCGCGGCGTCGCACGCCCCTTCCTCAGGCGACGTCATCCCTGCATCATCCGCCCTGCACGAGGCGACCCGGCCGCCGGGCGGCGTCAGGGCCGCGTCTGACGTACCGCCGACATCGGCCGCGGCCGGCGCCTTATCCGCACCGGAGCCACTCGCGTCCGACCCGTCCGAGTCCGTCAGCTCGCCGTCCTCGTAGGACGAGCGGCGCCACGCCGGGGGCGTGGGCGGGGCGGCCGGCGACGGGCGGCGGTCCGGCAGCATCGGCGGCACCGGCTCGCCCGGCAGCGGGATGTCGCACACGGCCAGGTCGGCGCCGGCCGGCGGCGAGCGCCCCTCCGCCGTCTCGTCCGGGGAGGAGGCGGACGCGCCGCCGTCCGAGCAGATCTCGCCCTCCTCCAGGTCCTCCCACGCAGGAGAACGCAACACAGTGCCGGCATCTGAGGAGACTGAGCCCGAGCGCCCGTCCTCGGAGCTCCACTGCGCAGCGGCGCTGCTCGCCGAGGACAGCTCGGGGCCGGTCAGAACGTCCAGCGCCCGACGCTCGGCCGGCGACGTCGCCGCCGTTTTACAGCTCGACTCAGCCTGTCCGTCGGGGGCGGCCACATCTGCACTGCGGGGACAGTCACTCCCCTCGCCTCTGGTATCGGTGTGTTTTGGTCCCGTGAGCGCTGTCGGACACGTGTCAGCTGCCATCTCTCCCGGAGCCGAGTCCCGTTGTTCAGCAGCCGCTCCCCGGTCCGTTTCGACTTTCACGACGGTGTCGTCAAACGGCCGCGCTCTGCTGCTCTCACAGTCTTGTTCTGTCACTTTCGAACTCAGATGTTCCGGCAGCACACCGACTCCTCCATTCTTCACCACCTTCGCACTCTCATCACATTCCATGTCCACATTTGGGCCATTTCCCACGCCTCGCGCCAACTCGGACTTCACACGGCCCGTCCCGTCCGTGGCCTCCGTGCCCTCTGACCGCAACGGCGGCGCCACGTCTACCCGAGAGACTACGTCCTTCTCCACGGCCTGTCCAGCGTCGGCCCCGTCCACCACACCGGCTCCCTCTGCGTCCATCGCCTCCATCACGTCCGACCCCTCGGCCGCCGAACATTCCACCGTGCCCATCACCAACCGTTCCACCGCGTCCACCGCTGGCGCCACCTCCACTGCCAACTGTTCCACCGCGTCCACCTCCGGTGACACCTCCATCGCCAACCGTTCCACCGCGTCCACCGCCGGTTCCACCTCCATCGCAGAATGTTGCATAGTGTCTACCGCCGACCTTTCGACGGTGATCAGCGCCGGTGCCGTCTCTTCCACGGAGCTTTCCACCGTGTCCATCGCCGACCCTTCGACGGTGATCAGCGCCGGTGCTGCCTCTTCCACGGAGCCTTCCACCGTGTCCGTCGCCGACCTTTCGACGGTGATCAGCGCCGGTGCTGTCTCTTCCACGGAGCTTTCCACCGTGTCCATCGCCGACCCTTCGACGGTGATCAGCGCCGGTGCTGCCTCTTCCACAGAGCCTTCCACCGTGTCCGTCGCCGAACTTTTGACGGTGATCAGCGCCGGTGCTGCCTCTTCCACGGAGCCTTCCACCGTGTCCATCGCCGACCTTTCGACGGTGATCAGCGCCGGTGCTGCCTCTTCCACGGAGCCTTCCACCGTGTCCGTCGCCGACCTTTCGACTGGTGTCCACCTTCGGTGCCACCTCAATCGCCGACCGTCCCACCGTGTCTATTGCCGACATTTCCACGGTGTCCGCCACCGGTGCTAACTCTACCGTCGACCGTCCCATCGTGTCTACCACCGCTTCCACGGTGGTCGGCGGCGGCGCTGTGTCCACCTTCGTCTCCAGCGGAGCTGCCTCCACCGCCGTCTCCGCCGTGTCCTGCATCACAGTCGGCGGCTGCGGCCGGTCGCCAGCGGTCGGCCGCAGCGGCGCGTCTTCATCCCAGGCGAGCCGGCGCCGCGCGCGGTCCTCGTCCTCGAACGTCACCCGGCGCCCGTCGGGCCGGGCAGCGCTCTCGGCCGGCCGCACCGTATCGCCCCGGCGCAGTCCGGCCAGCGCCGCCTCCAGGTCCACCGGAGCCAGCAGGCTCTGGGATCACACGGAGACAGGCCAACGTGACAGCTTGTTGTGCCGTGCCAATACGGTAGGGATGGCGGGATCCACAAAGGACACAGCCAAACTTTTGGGATGGAAAGGAATTTAGAGTGGACTTCTAAAGTTCTAAAGTTCACGCAGTCAGTGATCAAATCAACATGTGTATGAACTTCATACCGACAGGTGTGATAAACTCACCATGCAACAGCATTTATTTCACGAGCAGTGGCGTGATACCTCGCCATGTAACAGCATTTATTTCATGGGCTAAGTCTCTAGATTGTCTCTCCAATGGTTTGCCCGAGCTCCACGGACGCCAGCCGCCAGTGAGTGGCGGGCTGCAGTGCCAGGCTGAGCTCGTGCGGCAGACGACTCACCAGATCGGCGCCGGGCTTGACCACGTGCTGGTACAGGGCGAGCAGACTGCTGCCCAGCTGCTGCCAGGCGGGCGCGCTGGGCGGCGGCGCCAGCGGCACCTGCTGCAGCAGCCGCGGCCGCCGCTGCTCCTCGCGCCGCCGTCGGCGCAGCGCGCACGCCTCCTCGGTCAGGCGCGCGCCGGCCGCCGCGTCGTACGGCGCGCCGCTCAGGGCCGTGTCCCTGCCGACGGGGCCGATGCAGGGTCATGTGGCCGCCGCGAACGAGGAGCGGGCGAGCGTGCGGTGGCGTTGTGCGGGTGTTTCAGAGACGAGAGTCGCGAGATTGTGAGGGGCGCGCAGTGCGTTTCAATGCTGCACACATGGTCAGAACTCAGGAGAAAGGAAGACGTGCTTCATCGCTACAGAGACCGGTGGTTGTGAAGTAGGATAGCGTGCTTTGCTGTCTCAAAGCAAAGCGTAGTGGTAAAGGTCGGCGTGTTTCACTACCACAAAGATTATAACCCGAGACGGACAACGCCTCGCCGCTGTGAAGGCGGAGAGGACCAGAGAGGAGGCGGAGAGCATCAGAGGATGAGGAGCCTTCTGCAGCTGCTCCTCGTAGCGAAAGTCGAGAAATTTAGCAGTGCGTGGTCACTGCCCCGAACACTGCTCGACTATGGGACAATGACAGAAGGGCATGGATCCCTGTGGACGTGCATCAAGACACAGCAGGCGGTTCTCTTTCAGTTTAATCGGGCGTAGTTCAGAGGAATAGAGAAACAAACCGTTTGCATGCTTTAGAGATAAGCTTGTCAACCGTGCAGAGAGCATGGGACGGCCGCCTTAAGTGGTGGACAGCGGCCATGTACAATTCGGGACTAGCAGAGCTTTACGAAACCCCGCCCAGCTCCGAGCGCATAAGCGGTGTCTGTCCCAGCCCGGGGCGCCGCAATGCAGACCTGGCGGCCCATCACGAGGCCGCCCGCCGGCGCTCCACCCACCCGTCCGGCAGGAACGGCTTCATGGCGTCGGCCAGCGACGGCTGCTCCTTCAACATGAGGTCGACCAGGGCGCGGCCCTTGGTGAAGTGCGGGTCGCGCCGGAAGGCGGCGCTCAGTCGCAGCAGGCACTCCTCGAAGTCGCTGAGCAGGTACAGGACGGACACCAGGCTGTCCATACAGGGCCAGTGGCCGGGGCTGCATGCCAGACCCTGCGCACCACAGTGGTGTCACGGCGCGGAGCGGGGCGGGGCGGGGCGGGGCGGGGCAGGGTGGGGTGGGGTGGTGCGGGGCAGCAGCCGCCGCGGATCGAGGCACACTAGGAGGTCACAGCGGACCATCAACAGACCAGGCCGGTGCGTTTTATCACACAGCTGAACTCGTGGGCACAGGGAGCTTACAGGGAGAAACAGGGAGGGAAAGTCATGCCAACTTTTCCTGGCTGGGAAGCGTAGCGAGTGGCTTCTGGGCAAGAGTCGGCCCACGCACGGCCGAGTCTATGTATGGTAAAGCCAATACCAAGGCATAAATCGCTACGTCAACAATACACATGACGGGACAGTCCGTCTTCATACCGAGTCGGAATGACGGCCGTGGAATAGATTTAAAGGGAGCAAATGCCGACGGGCAAACATGACAAAATCACACTAATTCAACAAGCAGAAAACGATGTGTCTTGGAAGAGCCATGACTACTTAATTAGGTCACCACGCCACACCCTGGACAACAGTATTTCTTCAACACCAGCGAGACTACTACTCGCCGTCCGGTCAGGCAGCCGTCCTTACCTGCTTGAAGGCGGCGCGCGCCAGATGGAGGCGGTCGGCGCGGTAGGCGGCCACGCCCGTCTTGTACCAGAGCGAGACGTCCGTGTCGTCGAGCTCGGCGGCGGCCAGCAGCGAGGTCAGCGCCGTCTTCGGGTCGCCGCGCCGCAGCGCCGCGCTGCCCAGGTTCTTGTGGCACGAGTAGCGCAGCAGCCGACCCATGCCTGACCAGGGGAGACAGGTGTTACAGGGGCCGCCACCCAGGGTCTCTTTGCACGAGTACCGCAGCAGCCGGTTCATGTTTGGCCAGGGGGGGGAGGGAGGGGTGTCACAGGGCCCGCTGCCCAGGATCTCATGGCACGAGTATCGTAGCAGCCGGCTCATGCTGACGTCTTTCGTTTCATGTGGTCCTCGTTATTAATTTCCCAGGTCAAAGGCACAAGCCACTGGGAGTTGACTCCACGTCGCGCCACCACAGCGAGCGGGTTCCAGAACCGGTGACGGCCGCTGTGAACCGCGCACCCTCCGCAGGAATGCACCGGTCCAGGGGAGCAGCGCGCGGCAGCGGGTCGGTGGCAGCGCACCTGAGGCGAAGGGCTCCGCCGTCTCGGCCACGGCCGGCGACGCGAGCACGGCCAGGAAGAGTCGGTCGGCGCCGTCGTCATCGCCGGCCGCCTGCAGCTGCAGTGCCTCGTTGTAGCGCCGATGCGCCGCGGCCTCCTGCGGGGGCAGTGGCGGAGGGTGGTCAGTGGTGGCGCGGCAGGGCATGCAATGACAGCAGCACAGAAGGCTGGGCCAGTGACAGATGGGTGCTGCAGGGACTGAGTGGAGCCTAGTCGAGGCTGGAAGACCAGGTCAGCTGCAGCTGCAAGGTGCAGGCCAGTGCTGGCAGGTATGTCAGTGAGGGCAGCTTACAGATTACATTACATGGAGAACAAGGCATGTTTGTGCAATCTGGGCTTGGTGCAAGCCAGTCAACACATTACTGCTTTTAAAGAATGCTGTGAATAGTACAACAGATCTGATCACATGTGGCAATGATGTTGAATTTGGGTGATATATGCAAAATATAGATGAAATGGGGATTTGCATGGCTGGGAAAGGTGATACTTACCTATGCTTTGAGCACCATAGTTAGCTCTGACAAATTACCTCTGCCTCCCTGGTGATGACCTGTTGTCCATCATCTGTGCTGCTGAGCTGAGTCTTCTCCTCATCATTTAGAGCTGCTATTCGACTCATTAAAGCCAATGTCAGATCCTCACATCCTCCAATCTATGATTTATCTGCAAGCAACAGCATGATACTTTAAGCACATCCCTTTCATGCTCATGTGGTAACCTCAAAAATTATGGAAGAGATCCCAGATGAGACCTGCTGGAAACAAGACATAGGATTTGCAAGCATTCTGAGGTTCTGCTGATCAATCTTAACAATTCACAAGTGCCAGAGAAAGGAACTCTACCATGTGCTGCATGTAAGATCTCAACTGAAGGCAAACAGTGATCATGGTCATGGCATGTCATAAACACCCAGCCTGATGACTTCAATCTTTAGTAAGTAATTTGGTTGGGTGATCTGAGTGGAGGGAAATGGCTAAGCCTTTACTAAGTCATGTTATAACATACTGGTTTCTGAACAGATCTGACCCAATCTCGTTATTGCAGAGCTGGTTCCCCACCCCCCCCCCCGCTTAAAAAATGATCATGAAGCTAAATCCCTGGCCCCCTGAGCATGCCTGCATGATCATATGGATCTCCTCTAAATTTTACATTTTACTTCCTGTTTTAGAATGTGATACATGATTAACAGCAGCAAACAAACCTGTATCGATCTTATTCCTTTAAAACAAATACAAGAAGTGATTTGCATTGATCTTTAGGCTACAAGCTTATGTCCAAATAATTATGGGGTACTCATTCATGTTTCAATAAAACCCCATAGAAATATGGGTATTCTTCAAGTACTTCACCTTCTTTAGAAGAAGAAAAATCTCCACCGCGAGCGTTTTACGCGCGGTGCCGCACGGGCTCAACCAGCTCGCGTTAGCAGGATTGCCCAACTTTGAAATCACACAATCCAAACGACATCTTTAGCACCAAAAATAAAGAGCATGCAATTAACATTATACACTACGTCGTTTCGACCACTGCTACTCACAATGCTCGCATGATTGCCTATCATCTTCAAGAAATAACCATCTGATAATATAATAATTTCGGCCACAAACAGGTCATATGATTTTTAACACGCGGACAGCCGGCGACTTATAGCATGTACTAAAAGGGCAACATAAGCACCAAATTACGTACATTCGTGCAATCAAGAAAAGTATCCCAGTTTTTCACATTCGTGTCTCGAATTGATGTTTCCAAACAGACAGCACAGAGAAAAACCCAACAATGTCGGCGGAACTGAAGCATTTCCAGCAGTCTTAAAAAACGGACCAAGCCACGGGAACCAAACACCGAAGCCAAGCCAACGTTTTCGGTGCGGTACATTGACGTCTATTAGCGCAGTGCATCTCATACACGAGTCCGGATAATGTGATTCACACTTATTAGGACCAAACACATCGTGACGACATTGTCGCTTAAACTACAACACTTGGATTCAATTAATATGACTACTCCGTTTGCCGTGACATGCTGCCATCATGCCGTGCAGAGGGACTATCGTAGTACCCTCTTAAAGTAGTGCACCTCCTGTACAATTCCAACGAGCAATGCTTGAAATCGCACTGACATCCAGGGACATACTCTGCCGAGATAATATGCCAACAGCCACCCTAAGGAAAGGGATCAAGCCTCGGGAAACGAAGACTGAAGCAAGGCCAGCGTTTTCGGTACGGTACATATACGTCTGTTAGCGTAGTGCACCTCACACACGAGTCCGGATAATGCGATTCACACCCTTAGAACTGAACACGTCGTGCTGACAATGTCGATGGAACTGCAAGACTTCGGTCCGATGAATAAGACTCATGCGTTGCCGTGAGATGCTGCAATCATGTCGTGCAGAGGGACTGTCGTAGCACCCTCTTAAAGTAGTGCACCTCTTGTACAATTCCAACGAGCAAGGCTTGAAATCGCTCTGACATCAAGAGACATACTCTGCCGAGATAATATGCCAACAGCCACCCTAAGGAAACGGATCAAGCCCCGGGAAACGAAGACTGAAGCAAGGCCAGCGTTTCGGTACGGTACATATACGTCTATTAGCGTAGTGCACCTTACACACGAGTCCGGATCATGCGATTCACACTTATTAGGACCAAACACATCTTGCTGACGATGTCGGTGGATATGCCAGATCACGGTCCGATGAATAAGACTCATGCATTGCCGTCAGATGTTGCCATCATTGGCGGACGGACTGCAGTAGCACCCTCTTCAAGTAGTACACCTCCGGTATAATTCCAATTGGCGGGACCTAAAAACCGCTCTGACATCCAAAGACATACTCTACCGAGATAATATGCCAATAAAAATCCTAAGGATACGGACCAAGCCTTGGAACCGAAGACTGAAGCTAGGCCAGCGTTTTCGGTACGGCACATATGCGTCTATTAGCGCAGTGCACCTCATGCACGAGTCCGGATCAGGCGATTCACACTTATGGAAATTAAACACATCGTGCTGACAATGACGGTGGAACTGCGAGACTTCGGTCCGATGAATAAGACTGATGCATTGCCGTGAGATGCTGCCATCATGTGCGGACAGGCTGTAGTAGCACCCTCTTAAAGTAGTACACCTCTTGTATAATTCCGATTGGCGAGACCTAAAAGCCACTCTGAAAGGCAAAGACACACCCCGCCGAGATAACATCCCGACACGAACCCTGAGAAACAAAGCCAAGCCCCGGGAACCGAGGACCGAAACAAAGGCAACGGTTTAGGTACGGTATATATACGTTTAGTCGTGCGGTGCACCTGAAACAGGAGCCCTTACAACGCGATTCACACTAAGTAGAAATAAACACATTGTGCCGACAATGTCGGTTGGGCTGCAATGGTTTGATTCAATGAATAAGACTCATGCACTGTCGTGGGATGTCACCATCATATACGGACAGACTGTAGTAGCACCTTCTTAAAGTAGTGCGCCTCTTGCATAATTCGTTGGCGAGACCTAAAAACGGCTTTGCCATCCAAAGACACACTGTACCGAAATAACGTGTGAACAGCAATTCTAAGGGAACGGACCAAGCCCCGGAAACCGAAGACCGAAGCGAGGCCAACGTTTTCGGTACGGTACATATATATTTATAAGCGCAGCGTACCTTATACCATCGTCAGCAAGATGTGTTTAGTCCTAATAAGTGTCAATCGCATGATCCGGACTCGTGTGTGAGGTGCACTACGCTAACAGACGTATATGTGCCGTACCGAAAACGCTGGCCTTGCTTCAGTCTTCGTTTCCCGGGGCTTGGTCCGTTTTCTTAGGGTGGCTGCTGGCATATTATCTCGGCAGAGTATGTCTCTGGATGTCAGAGCGATTTCAGGCCTTGCTCATTGGAATTGTACAAGAGGTGCACTACTTTAAGAGGGTGCTACGACAGTCCCTCTCCACGACATGATGGCGGCATCTCACGGCAATGCATGAGTCTTATTCATCGGACCGACGTCTTGCATTTCCATCGACATTGTCAGCACGACGTGTTTAGTTCTAATAAGTGTGAATCGCATTGTCCGGACTCGTGTGTGAGGTGCACTACGCTAACAGACGTATATGCACCGTACCAAAAACGCTGGCCTTGCTTCAGCCTTCGTTTCCCGGGGCTTGGTCCGTTTGCTTAGGGTGGCTGTTGGCATATTATCTCGGCAGAGTACGTCTTTGGATGTCAGAGCGGTTTCTAGGTCTCGCCAATTGGAATTATACAAGAGGTGTACTACTTGAAGAGTGTGCTACTGCGGTCCGTCCGCCAATGACGGCAACATCTGACGACAATGCATGAGTCTTATTCATCGGACCGAAGTCTTTCATATCCACCGACATCGTCAGCAAGATGTGTTTAATCTTAATAAGTGTGAATCGCATGATCCGGACTCGCGTGTGAGGTGCACTACGCTAACAGACGTATATGTACCGTACCGAAAACGCTGGCCTAGCTTCAGTCTTCGTTTCCCGGGGCTTGGTCCGTTTGTTTAGCGTGGCTGTTGGCATATTATCTCGGCAGAGAACGTCTTTGGATGTCAGAGTGGTTTTTAGGTCTCGCGAATTGGAATTATACAAGAGGTGTACTTCTTGAAGAGGGTGCTACTGCAGTCCGTCCGCCAATGATGGCAACATCTGACGGCAATGCATGAGTCTTATTCATCGGACCGTGATCTGGCATATCCACCGACATCGTCAGCAAGATGTGTTTGGTCCTAATAAGTGTGAATCGCATGATCCGGACTCGTGTGTAAGGTGCACTACGCTAATAGACGTATATGTACCGTACCGAAACGCTGGCCTTGCTTCAGTCTTCGTTTCCCGGGGCTTGATCCGTTTCCTTAGGGTGGCTGTTGGCATATTATCTCGGCAGAGTATGTCTCTTGATGTCAGAGCGATTTCAAGCCTTGCTCGTTGGAATTGTGCAAGAGGTGCACTACTTTAAGAGGGTGCTACGACAGTCCCTCTGCACGACGTGATTGCAGCATCTCACGGCAATGCATGAGTCTTATTCATCGGACCGAAGTCTTGCAGTTCCATCGACATTGTCAGCACGACGCGTTCAGTTCTAAAGGTGTGAATTGCATTATCCGGACTCGTGTGTGAGGTGCACTACGCTAACAGACGTATATGTACCGTACCGAAAACGCTGGCCTTGCTTCAGTCTTCGTTTCCCGAGGCTTGATCCCTTTCCTTAGGGTGGCTGTTGGCATATTATCTCGGCAGAGTATGTCCCTGGATGTCAGTGCGATTTCAAGCATTGCTCGTTGGAATTGTACAGGAGGTGCACTACTTTAAGAGGGTACTACGATAGTCCCTCTGCACGGCATGATGGCAGCATGTCACGGCAAACGGAGTAGTCATATTAATTGAACCCAAGTGTTGTAGCTTAAGCGACAATGTCGTCACGATGTGTTTGGTCCTAATAAGTGTGAATCACATTATCCGGACTCGTGTATGAGATGCACTGCGCTAATAGACGTCAATGTACCGCACCGAAAACGTTGGCTTCGGTGTTTGGTTCCCGTGGCTTGGTCCGTTTTTTAAGACTGCTGGAAATGCTTCAGTTCCGCCGACATTGTTGGGTTTTTCTCTGTGCTGTCTGTTGGGAAACATCAATTCGAGACACGAATGTGAAAACTGGGATACTTTCTTATTGCTCGGAATGTACGTAATTTGGGGCTTATGTTTGCCCTTTTAGTACATGCTATAAGTCGTCGGCTGTCAGCGTGTTAAAATCATATGACCTGTTTGTGGCCGGAAATTAATTATATTATCAGATGGTTATTTCTTGAAGATGATAGGCAATCATGCGAGCATTGTGAGTAGCGGTGGTCGAACGATCGTCGTGAATGATGTTAATTGGCATGGCCTCATTACTTTTGGTGCTAAGATTGTCGTTTGGATGTATTGATTTCAAAGTCGGGCAATCCTGCTTAACGCGAAGCTGGTTGAGCCCCGTGCCGCACTGCGCGTAAAACGCTCGCCGGTGGAGATTTTTCTTCTCTACAAAAAGGTGACGTACTGAATGTAACCTTGAAAAAAACCGAAATATGAACCTCAAAAATCAAAATACCAACACACCTCTTATTTTTCCTGTTTATTTGACAAGGAGTATGGTAAACTGTTCTTATGCATGCGCCATATTCCTCACAGCTGTCCTGGAAAGCCTACATACTTAAAGCTCTATCAAAGTGGCAAATCTGCTTCATAAAAACACCACATTAGCAAAATCAACATGCCAGATCACATTTTTTCTGGTCACTAGTAAGGAATGCCAGGAATCCACACTGTAAAGCTTCACCATTACAAATGTTTGCAGTGCTGGCTTACTGCCTTGCATTGCATTGCACAACCTTTTTAGGAAGCAGGAAATCCATTTTTGAAGATTTTGTTCCCAAATGGAGATTTGTCACGGTTGCCCAGCTGACCCTGTAACCCCAGTGTCATGTCAATGTATCCGGGCAAATAGACCAGTCCTCATGCACGTTACTTGGCACAGCCAGCCTTAGAAGAGCCTTGCATTGTACTGATCACCCTTCTCACTACCGCACAAGCCCATACTGTGAAGAATGCACAATAACTCCAATAAAAATAAAACCTCTAAAACAATACCCGAGGCTGACTGATACGCCGGCAGATAAGACCTTCGGGCTCACCCAAAGCACTAAGAGCGCAACTGGGACGTCCACGGGCCCGTAATATCGTGATTTTTGCGGTGTCCGCTTCAATTTGTGCGACCCTACTGTTCACACCTTTGAATTCAATTTGAAAGTACTGCGTTGTCAATTTCGCTTATCCAAGGGACTCCCTGGCAGTGAAAGAATCCACCTAAAAAAATCACCTTCTAGGTAGGTATTTTCACCTTCTCAAACTGAATATAGGCCGGTGGCTACCGCCAAATCAATTCTAATATAATTTAGGTACATAAGCTGGCAAAATTAGGTATTAAATGACTGCTTAGAATAAATCGCCGGAGCTCTTCATTTCATGGCCGTCTAGTGGACCCTTTTTAAACCGATAGAACTCAGAAACTTAATAGGATTTTTATCCGTGTTGTACAGCAACAGCAAGGATTCCGCGAATGCATGGAACCCTAAACGTGACCTGCACCGAGCCCTTCGGGCGCTTCAGCCTTCCCACCGGACCTTTGATCTTTGTCTCGAGACCGTTCATGTGTCATGTCATTGGAGCTTTACGACGCACTCAGCTGCTGGGATTATATGGCGTCGCCTGCCTCTCATCCTGGCAGGAAGGGCGGGCACCGCAGGGAATCGAACCCCGCACCTCTGGTTTCCCAGACGTGCAGTGGCTATCGCAGGCGCGTTAACCACTACACTACCTAGCGCCCTCGGACCCTTGCGAGCACAGGACTCTCTGTTAGGTGCTGTGGACCCCTGACAGCTACAAGGTCCTCGACCCGCGCAAACCACTGGCCCCGGCTTTGTCACTGCTTGGAAAGTGGGCTCTCGCCCATACCGCCACGTAGGCGACTGCGCTGTACTGGTGATTCCTGACAGACATATAGGCCCATATCAACTCAGGGGGTCCCCGCTCGCCGCAAAGGACCCTCTGACTGTTACTTGGGGGCAAGTACCCCAAGCCGGACCCCCAAATAAGACTTCGACCGGCCCCTCGTGGCCTTAGACCCTCCAATCAAGCGCTTGATCGTCGGACCCGGTGGGCCCTCTAGGCTCCACGGACCTCCTCAATCACTGCCTCTGGCCGGCTCGGGCCCCTTGCCAACACAGGGTCCCATTAGTGGCTATGGGACCCTGACAGACGCTGGGGCCCCGACCAATGTAAATCGCTGCCTCCGGCTGTGTTCTTGCCTGGGAGATGGGCGCACACCGCCACGGAGTCGACTTTGTGTTCCTGGTGGTGTCTAACAGACATACAGGCCCTCATCGACTCAGGGGCCTCCAATCGGCGCACAGAGGCCTCTGCCTGATATCGGACTACCCGACCCTGAGGGCCGAGGCCCCTGAATGCGATCTACAGCACGCTTTTCAGGCGTCTTATCGTTGGTTCCGAGGGACCCTTCGGGCCCTTCGGAACCTAGCGGGGGGGGGGGGGGGGGGAGACGTGCCTCCTGTGCCCTCTGCCTGCGCATCTGCATCGCAGATTAGGTGTTGTGATACCTTACGAGTTGCGACACATTACAGGTTACGAATATTAGGGATTAAAATACGTTAAGCATCTTGAACCGTTAGTGGTTACGAAACGCTAGATGTTCTGATACATTAGGAATTGCGATAATTACGAGCTGCGAAACATCACGTGATCTAATACACATTAGAGGTTATGAACGTCTGGCTTTGTGATACGGCAGCAGTTACGAACTGCGAGCGTTATGACATTTTAGGGATATGATATACTGAAGATTATGAAAAATTAGTGGTCGCGAACATTGGACGTTGAGATAATCCGCAAAATTCTCAGACATTGCCACGGACCGTCTCCAATACTTCAGACCGCTGGCACGGGAGAACCGTCTCCGACACTTCAGACCGTTGGAACGGGAGAGCCGTCTCCGACACCTCAGACCGTTGGCACGGGAGGGCCGTCTCCGACACCTCAGACCGCTGGCACGGGAGGGCCGTCCCCGACACCTCAGACCGTTGGCACGGGAGGGAGGTCTCCGACACCTCCGACCGTTGGCACGGGAGGGCCGTCTCCGACACCTCAGACCGCTGGCACGGTAGGATCGTCTTCAACATCTCAGACCGCTGGCACGGTAGGGTCGTCTCTAACATCTCAGACCGTTGGCACGAGAAGGCAGTCCCCGACACCTCAGACCGTTGGCACGGGAGGGGCCGTCTCCAACACCTCAGACTGTTGGCACGGGAGGGGCCGTCCCCGACACCTCAAACCGTTGGCACGGGAGGGCCGTGACAGGCAGAGGTTCCCAAAGGTTACAGACTACAAACGACATTCATATATTTCTGGTAAAACGCACAACTACATCACACATCAACAGAGTCCGGAACTCACAGCCCGCTCGGTCAGCCGGCTCTATTTGTCGGGGCGAGGCCGTTCGAACGGGTCCGACCACACCTTCATGTTCCCCGGCTGAATTTCCTCCTGGCGAATCCCGGCGCGGTTGCGCTCTTGCGCTTCCTTGTACTCCTCCTTGTGGATCATCGGGTAAACGATGATGGGGTAGAGAGCCAGGCCCACGCTGCCGACGATGGTGCCGACGAACACGCCGTACCGCCAGCCGAACAAGCGCACCATTGGTCACCTGAGGTCACACAGACGAGCCGGTCAGAGCCCACGAGAGCCGCGTCGTTGGCCAGGGCACCGCTACGCTTAGTATCACAGGCGCGTGGTCCATAGAGGTCCGGAAAACAATTGCCAATAAATAATACGCGGGCACTGCGCTCCAAAAACTACTGCCTGCACAGGACTGGGCCAAACGGTCAGCTGAGATCAGGGACAACCTAAGTGCCGGTGCAGGGATTAGATCCACATGGTCAACTGCGGTCAGGACAACCTAACTGCCAGTGCAGGGATTAGATTCGCATGGTCCACTACGATCCGGACAACCTAACTGCCAGTGCAGGGATTAGATTCGCATGGTCCACTGCGATCCGGACAACCTAACTGCCAGTGCAGGGATTAGATTCGCATGGTCCACTGCGATCCGGACAACCTAACTGCCAGTGCAGCGATTAGATTAACATGGTCCACAAGATCCGGACAACCTGTCAGTGCCACAGAGCCGCAGGGTCACCAGAGGTCAGGACCACATCTGTGGCTTGCGATCGTGCAGCGCAGATACACGCGTGGGCTAGTTGCGGCCAGGGTACTTATCTGGTTAGCTAGAGTACAGCCAGACCTAAATTTGATCTACCTTTCGGCGACTCGGTTAACATCGCTTTCCGACCATTGTTTAACGAACCAGTTTCTTCTCCAACAGCAGTTTCATGTTTTAAGAGTAAGAGTATGTTGTTGTCGATTCACACCATAGCCAATATCCCAGTTCTGATTCAAATCCAGTTCCACTGAAATATTCCAGTTCTGATTGACATCACAATTTGGTAGTGTGTGTCGATTTTGATTGCTTATCCTGCGTTCAATAATCTGTTCTGCTTTTCGGCTCTTTTAATTCGCAAATGATTGGTATAGAGCTGATGTTGAATCAGTTATGTTTTAGATGTGATGTCAGGCCGGCAAAACATCCTAGCAATCAGCTGGTTTCAAGATATAGATTGAATGTCTGAGCCAAGCCATTTTGCTCAGTTTGTGTGATGACTTGTGAGTCACACATTGCACCTTAACTACTAAATAATGCCTAGTAAGTCAACCAATCGCAGGCAAAACTGAAGTTTTCACCTCATTAATCACACTAACTTTCATTGTTATCTTACTAAAGACCGATCAGTCGAGACTGATCAATCGACTTCCTGTCGGCACGAAATCGCACTTAAGTACAAAGTAAAGGAATAAATCATATCAACCCTCCAGACTTTTCCTTCCTTATGGGATTACTGGAACGTTTCACCTTGACGATCCACCTTGAAGCAAACACAGGACAGAATACACTATTCGTCACCCCTGACCCATCAGTTGGCCGGCGATGGCAAAGCTGGCCCACGATTTTGAGCACCAGCGCACAGGTGAGTGGTCGCCTCGGGTCAGGCCATGCGGTGGCGCTATATCACAGCATACCCCAATTATTTGACGCGAACAATCAATTGTGTAGTTCTCGTGGTGACGCCAAAAAGCATTCACGGCTCACAAAGCCTGCAGCACAATGGTGCACCGCTCTGGTTGGAGAAATCGAGCGAGCTGAACGCCTTCCTTTGGTCGCCCACACGGGCCGGTGACTTGCAGCGCACTCACACGGGCCCCGAGACGTGGCCTTTCAGAACTTGCTGAGACACTCAAGCAGGACATCGCGCAGCTTGCAGCGGAGCCTCTCATCGCCGCCGCAGATGATGTGGGTCGAGTTGCTGTCGATCTGGATGAGCGTGTCCTCTTCCTGCAGATGCACTATGACGCCGTTCGGCCCCTCCTCCACCTTGCCAAGCCGAAACAGCCAGGTCAGCGAGGCACGGCCGTCGACCGACGACGGGAAGTCATTGCCACGCTGGGCGTCGGCGAGAGGCGACGGCAAACGGCAAGCTTGTAAATAGTTGGCTCCATCGACATCAGAAGAGCATACTTAGGTTAAAGTAGCCGACGACAGGTGACCAGAACCTCACGGACGAACGGTCGCCGAAATGTCGAACACCAGCACGGCAAGATTGCGAAATTAGTGCACCACAGACATTTTATCCTTGGATTGGTGCGCAAAGCCACAGAAGAACTACCAGCCGATGGTCCGAATAGATAGCTGACAGCCAACGATAAGCGAGCTATGCCAAAAGGCAGAATGGAAGAAGACGGCCAGATGGGCGAGCGGAGAAGATATGAATACAAAAAGAATCGGCACACCTTGGCGTCATTGATGTCCTCCTGGGTGAGCCGCTGCAGCAACTCGGGCACGTGCACGGTGCCGTAAGTGTGGTAGCGCGGTCGCACGCCCACCAGGGCCTCCAGGCTGCGCGGCTCGTCGTCGCTGGCCGGCTCCGACTCCGGCGGCGGTAGCAGCCGGTGCCGGTTGTCCTGCACGTGCAGCAGGCCGGTGACGGTGGCCACGGCCACCCCCGGCCGCAGCTCGGTCGTGTTCAGCCGTTCGCTCAGCTCGGCCGAGATGACGACGCGCTCCTGTGAGCGGCGCACCGGCAGCGAGAGCACGTCACCGCGCCGGTACGTCAGCGTGGCGCAGTCAGCCTCGATCTGACAGTCGGCGCGGTGCGGTGCCATCGCCGACGGCGACGCGTACTGCTGCGGCAATCACCAGCGTCTGCGGCTTCAGGTCCCGGATCAGCTTGTTGGCCTGGCTGAAGTAGAGAGACGTATCGATGGGCGTGAAGTAGCAGTTCATGCTGAGCGGTTGGTACGGCGCCAGGCACTCCAAGTAGGGAAAGTCGGGCGACGTGAAGATGACCGCGTTACTGGAGCTGCCGCCCCACAGCTCCATGAAGTGGACCGAGTCGCCGAAGCGCAGGCTCGGGTGGCCGCCGAACACGACACAAGGCTGGCGGAACTCGGCGCTGAAGCCGTCCGCCTGCAGGTTCTTGTAGGGCCGTAGCCGTCCGCTGGACACGAGGTGGCCGTGCGGGAACGGGTCCTCCGGCAGGTAGACGCGCACCTGCTTGGCGTGCGACAGCCACTCGGCCAGGATGTTGGAGTAGGCGAGCGAGTGCTCGGCCACGGGCGATACAAAGAAGAGTGGCACCGAGCTGAGGCCCTGCTGGTCCAGGTACGGCGCCAGGCACTCGATCAGGTCGTACACGATGCCGGACGGACAGCAGGGCACTAGCACGCTGCCGCCGCCCTTGACGGTGTGCGTCACTTTGGCGCAGAACTCGCCGATCATGGCGTCAGGGTTGTAGGACGGCACCTGCGTCAGTCCGTTCAGGATGAGCACGTCGGCACCACGCAGCTGCGTCTGCTCCAGCTGCTTCGGGTGCGTGGTCAGCGTGGATGAGCCATTGACGTACACGATCTTTTCGTAGTCGGATGAGATAGTCCAGTTGGCCGAGCCGAGGCAGTAGCCCGAGCTGGACGGCATGACGCGCAGCGCCCCGAACACGTCCATCTTCTCACCGTAGCCGACCGTGTGTACGCGCGTCATGGCCTGGTTGATGGTGTCTGCATTGTACAGCTGCCGCCACAGCTTCGGCTTGTACACCTGGCAGAGCGGCGCCGGCAGTAGGTGCACCAGCTGCTTCCACTTTGAGGCGTGCTTGGCACGCGGCGTCTGCTCGATGTGGTAGAGCAGCTCGTCCATGCAGAGGCGGCCGATCTGCAGGGTCGGCTCGGTGGCGTACACAGTGCCGCGGAAGCCGCGCTCGGCCACGATGAATGGCAGCGCCAGCATGCTTGTGTAGTTCGAGATGAGGATGGCGTCAATCTCCGAGAAGTCGACGAGACTGGTCTGTGGCAGGCAGAACTCGGGTGGAGAGTCAATGAAGACCTTGCCAGCACACTCCTTCAGCTCGCCCTCGATCTGTGTCTCCTCCTTCGGAGTCCATGTTGGTAGGTTGTCAATACGAGGACTTGGCACCAATGGCAGTGGCAAGAAGTTTAGGATCGTGGTCTCGTCCAAACCACAGTCGAGCATGATTGTGCACTGCTTGAAGCGCAGCACATTGCATGGCTTGTTGGGATGACCGCTGAGAGCAAAGAACTTCATCCTAGGATTATGCAGTTAAGTAATATTAGTGATCTGATTGGTGTGTGACATCTGCCTACAATAGCATGCTACCAGTGTTCAGCCAGATGTTATTATCATGGCATGCTGCACAATGATGAAACCAATGCAATAACTTGCCAAAAAGGACAGTCTGGGAGGCAGTTATATGTCCAGAAGCCAATGAAACTGATCCTGAACACCACGAAAAAATGATGCTGACTCAAACTTCTTCTTGCTGTTGCTAGTCTTTTTTTGTGCTTGGCTCAGCTCAGGCTTAGCTCAGGCTTCAGCTCTTGTGTCCTGAAAAGATCAGACCATTGAAAAACTGCACATGATAAAATGTTTTATTCTTGACCCTGACCCCATGCACAACTTACAACAGAGTACACAAAAAAAACACTCCAAATGAATATGCAGGTAGATTACACCTACACACTTTTATTCTAACTGCAAAGGTATATCATCTCATCTAGGAATATCTCTTCAGGCGATATCACATCAAGGATACACCATGTTAACAAGTGATATCTTGGGTTTGAGAATAACGTGTTACGAGAACTTTGAGCTGATCAGATAAAATATTAATATAAAGTTGCAAAAGGTAGTTCCAAACATAACTGACATTATTTCATTCCAAGCACCTTATAGTACTTACATCTTACTTGTGTTATTTCAATACTGTACTGTTCAAGTGGCCCTGTAAGCTGCATTGCATCATGCAAGATTGATAACAAATAACCATCATAAATCATCACATTTGAGATAAAACCTGTGTGATATGATAAATTGCCACTAAATCATGTATTAAATCAACAGCTTAAAATGCACCCAGAAATGTCACATTGACAATTATTTACAATGAGATCATGTTCATTATAATGATCATTATTTAAGAAACAGATCACCAACTGACAAAAACAGAAGAGTCACCTAATCAATCTCTAAATTAACAGTTTAAAATACAGCTTGAGGTGATGCTGACAAACCTTACTGCTGCACAACAGCAGGGTATGAATCTTATTGCACTTTATCACGGCCAGGGCGTACTTTTCTACCTAACGTTAGAAAAAATCATTGCACACCATTCGTCGTGTTTAAGGCAGGACATATCGTAAATAATCTCAAAACAGGTAGAATCATGCTCCTACCCTCGAATTTCAATAACTTCGATGGCGGGCCCCCGAGCGCCGCGCGCACCGCACCGCCTGGACTCCTTGGCGCCGTTTCTGCGTTGCCGTTGCGTAAATACAATATTTCTGCTTACCAAGAACTCTACAAAATGTACGGGACCAAAGTAACCCATTCGTCGTGTTTAAGGCAGGACATATCGTAAATGATCACAAAACAGGTAGATTCATAATCTTACCTTCAATTTTTTATAATTACGATGGCGAACTCCCGAGCGCCGCACACACACAGCACCCGCGACACCGGCGCCATTACTGCGCGGGTCACAACATTACTGTGCATCAAGCAGCATCAAGAACCATAAAAATGTACCGGGCCAAGGTAACAAGAATCCATGAAATTTGATCCTCGACGCCAACGGGACCACGGGTTGCAGGGGGATTGGGTGGGGAATGTAAAGCAAAATGAGAACATGACAGCTAAATAAAAGCTCACTATATGGCACCTATATATGGCATGGAACATGGATGCCAATGGGATGCTGGGTTGAAGGGGATATAGGGTGGGGAGGTTAGGTTAGGTTAGGTTAGGTTAGGTTAGGTTAGGTTAGGTTAGGTTAGGTTAGGTTAGGTTAGGTTAGGTTAGGATAGGTTAGTTAGGTTAGGGTAGGTTAGCTTAGATAAGCTTAGGTTCTGGTCTATTAGCTTATATCCAAGCTCATAAGGTCTATGAGCTTATATCTAAGCTCAGGTTAGGTTAGATTAGGTTAGGTTAGGTTAGGTTAGGTTAGGTTAGGTTAGGTTACATTAGGTTAGGTTAGGTTAGGTTAGGTTAGGTTAGGTCAGGTCAGGTCAGGTCAGGTCAAGTCAGGTCAGGTCAGGCTAGCTTAGCTTAGCTTAGCTATGGGATGCTGGGTTGAAGGGGATATAGGGTGGGGAGGTTAGGTTAGGTCAGGTTAGGCTAGGCTAGGCTAGGTTAGGTTAGGTTAGGTTAGGTTAGGTTAGGTTAGTTTAGGTTAGGCTAGGCTAGGTTAGGCTAGGTTAGGTTAGGTTAGGTTAGGTTAGGTTTGGTTAGGTTAGGCTAGTTTAGGATATGTTCTGGACTATTCTGACCTGTGTGTTTCATAAATGTACCTAAACTCGATAAGAAACGATTTTGGTTGCTTTATTATTGTTACCTTGGTCCCATACATGTTTTATGGTTCTTGATAAGCAGAAATATTGTGCTTTCGCAACAACGTAGAAACGGCGCTTGGGAGTCGAGGCGGTGCGGTGCAGTGCGTGCGGTGCTCGGGAACTCGCTATCGTATTTATTAAAATTCGAGGGTAGGAGCATGATTCTATCTGTTTTGCAATTATTTACGATATGTTCCGCCTTAAACACAACGAATGGTTTACCTTGGTCCCGTACATTTTGTACAGGTCTTGGTAAGCAGAAATATTGTATTTACGCAACGGCAAGCATTAACGGCGCTGGGGAGTCCAGGCGGTGCGGTGCGCGGGGCGCTCGGGAGCCCGCCATCGAAGTTATTGAAATTCGAAGGTAGGAGCATGATTCTACCTGTTTTGACATTATTTACTATTTGTGCGCCTTAAACACGACAAATGGTGTGCAATGATTTTTTCTAACGTTAGGTAGGAAAGTACACCTACACCCTTTATCACGTTCATTTGTCTTCCAGTTATTCATCTTACTGATATTTGAAGACTGTACTTGCTTGATAAACTGCTCATTTTCCATCACTATTTTTTGGAATTTGATGTACATATTGCATTCATATATTGCCAACCCTTGCTGGTGCCCTCATTTCAATGATTCAAGCAACTGCCCTGCACTATTGAAATTGATGGCACATCAGTCAGGTTACAAGTAAGCTCCAATTTATTGTGTGACTTGCATATTTCTGGTATTGCTTTCATCAGCATACCACTACAGACGTTTTATTACCTTTTTACTGAGCCATACAAGCTACATAATTTGATTGTGTGCGCCTAGTCATCAATCCAACACCATCTGGTTTACTCATCAGTAGACTGCAGTAGCAGAGCAAAAAAGGGCGGGAAGGGAAGCGCGTGTGTGTCGTGAACGTATGACCCATAGTCATCACGATGACCCAATACGTAGACTAAAGACCTAATACATAGCCGAATCGTGAGCATTCTTCACCGCAGAAAAATCGGAGCACCCACCCCCAAACCTTACCTTTTCTGCGCCTACACCCCCTTACAGGCCCTCGCTGCCAACCAGGTCCGCTGCCAAGGCCACATGGGAAAGACGAAACCGTCCGGGGATTATGGCGTTATCTTCATTTGATGTTAGAGTGACGTCACTGGAGCCAAGACTTTAATGGGCAGATGGCTGCTGGGCGCCGAGTGCAATAGAAGTGAATGCCTGTGACGTCATGTAGAAAAAAGTGGTGCTCATTTTCGTCTGTCGGTCCTGCTGGGGTGATGGAAGGCGACGCGGCAAGCGTCCTTACATTTGATTTTCGTGAGCTGTGGCGGTATGGGGGGTGATGCTGTGTGTTGCAATTATGGCTAAAAGGGAACGAAATTCGATCGAGCCTATCAATCCTACGGATTGTGCACGCTATGGAGAAAAGTTAACCCACGATGGCACGCGGCTGCCTGATCCATGCTACCAGATTCCGGCGGAGAAGTGATCGAGGGACGTCAGTGCGGTGCCCAGCGTTACTTTTCCAGATATATTTGTGTACTGTGTCCTTCAGACGGGATTCTACATAAGTCAAGACTTGAAGGCTTACTGCGCCCTGGAAGCCCACAACTATTTTGAGAATGGATTTGTTCAAGGCGTTGAAACAGTTGAGGCAAACCAAATATTGTGTTTATGAAGGCAAAAGTCCTGCTGAGTCAGTGTGTTGGGCAAAAGGCTGAGCCCTATGTAGCATGGATACTAAGCAAGAAGAATGGTGAAGTTCTTAGTGCACACTGTACCTGTATGGCTGGGTAAGTAGCATGTGTATAGCATAGATCATATGATAGCATGTTTAAGCCATAATGAAGCATGTTTCACATGCATTTATCAAGGTTTCATAATGTTATGATGATAAACAGTTTTTTCTCACATTGCCCAAGCCAAGGTGTAAGCTGAATGCCACTGACATTATGCTTGGCTCATCTTGCTCTCAAAATGCCAAGTTACTCATGCTGAGCCAAAATGTTTCCTGGTTGTTTTGTTTTGAAAACTGTTCCTTTCACAATGTGCAATATTATAGATAAAATGCTGGACCAGTGGTATACATGGCATAGTTGTCTAATGCTGTTTAACATCATGGCAATGTTTAACAGTATTCCATTATTTTTCAGGCTGGATGAGACCTGCAGCCATGTTGCAGCTGTCCTCTTCAAAGCCTAAGCTGCTGTGATGCTAGAGCTTAACAAGGCATCATGCACTAGTGAGGCCTGCAGGTCGAACAGCTCTTTTCGGAAGAATGTAACTGTGTCTAAGATATCAGACATGGAGCTGACCCGCTTAGGTGGTAAGAGAAAGAGGCCAGCTGCTGTTCAGCTCAGCCCATCAGCAGTCGCCCAGATACATGAGGAGATCAGGGCATTTGGAGCACAGCATGGGTGTGTCTATATGACATCACTGGATGAGGCTGGTGCTTCTTAAGATACTCCAGGCTTGCCATTCATTGTGGCTAAGATGTGTGATATTAGCCACCTGAATAGATCAGGGGCATCTGATCAGGGACAAATGGAGCATCAACATGTTCATACAGATAACGAAAAATGTGTTCGCAGGAAGCACTTATAATCATCAAGCTACTGATGTGGAATTTTGTGGTGAACATAATGCTGTTCTTTGAAAGCCTATGTGGTGAACTGTCGAAATGCAATGGCCTGAAAAGTGAAGACGTGCACACGGGACTTATTCGCCATCGCCATAGGACGGCAAGAACGTCGGACTGTGTTCGTTCCGATAACGAAAAAACTGCTAGTGACAGGTATATATGACCTTTGAGCCGATTGCGAAAAATATAAAAGTGTGATGATGTAGGTGGCAACCTTAAGCGGCAAGTCATTACAATGCACTTCGATTTTACATGCTCTACGCGTCGTGGTCGTGCCGCCGCTGGTGGTGCTGGTGGGTGGTGAGCGCAGCGAGTTTGTTGTCTACTGCACTTGATTTTTTCGCGCTAGATGCGCAAGACATCATGCTTCAGACGGGCGGTGACGGTCAGAGAGAAGCGAACGCGACCCGACCACCAGTGTCGTGACGCTGCACTTCGTGAAGGGGACCTCGGACCGAATATAGCTACCTTTTCACTCCCGTTCTCCGATGGACGTTGGTGAAAGGAAGAACGCTGCTCCCAAGACCGAAGCGTTACAGCCTGTGACGAGTGTGAATACAGAAGTGACTTTGGACTTGCTGAGCGTACCAGTGAGCCAGAGGCAAGATACCAGAACAGTAGAACTTCCATATCTACATTCTGCCGTGCTCGATCTGTTCCTGTCTACAGGGCCGGCCATGCTCGTTCCGTACCTGCCTATATTCCAGCGTGCTCGGTCTGCCTGTCTGCGAGGCCGGCCGTGCTCGATCCGCACCTGTGCGTGGGGCTGACAGTGCTTGGTTCCTTCTGTGTGCTTGTGAGTGTCGAGCCACGCATGCTGAGTTCTTGAAAGGTTTATGTGCATTCATTTGTGTAACGTCAATGTGGCACGCGAGTAGAATTATAGATAGCCAAACCAGGGTGCGGGGCATGATATGTATCTGTGATAACTTTCTTTTTAGTCGGAACAACACTGGCTGTACAAATGATGAATCTCTGTGTGTTTTATACCAGCGACAGTGCTGCAATAATCACATTTACTCCAGTCCTGAGCGTAGTTCGTTTGGGCAGCACACTCAAACAAAGTGAAAAATAGACAAAACAAATGGGCAGCACGTCCAAGCGGACAATGAGCGACACGACGTATGTGAAGGTAGCAGCAGTCCGATATTCATGTTCGTCATGGGCACTCTACGATGCCCTCAGCTGCTGAGGTTATATGGCGTTGCCTACATCTCACCCTGGCAGGAAGGACGAGCACCGCTGGTGATCGAACCTCGTACCCCTGGTTTCCCAAGCCTGCGTTGGTTGACGCAGAAGCGTTCAACCACTACACTATCGACACTTCGATATTCATGTTCAGCTGAAATCGGCGACCCTTTACATTTTCACGAAACGTGTACAAAAAACCGAGATTTATTGAAAACATAGGCAAGAGTGATGGGGCGTCAGGAGACCTATGCCCAGAAAACAAGACGTGCTGAGCGTAGGTCTCCTGAGCTTAGGTCCAGCGAGCGTAAGCCTTGTGATCGTAGGTCCAACGAGCGCTGGTCTCCTGAGCGTAGGCCCAGCGAGCGCAAGCCTCGTGAGCAAAGGTGCAGGGAGTGAAGGTTTCCTTAGCGTATGTCCAGCGAGCGTAGGCCTCGTGAGCGTAGATCCAGTGAGCGTAGGTCTCCTGGGGATAGGTCTTCTGCGTTCTCCCCGTAAAGACCTTGTGCAGGGTACCGAGGGGCCAAACCTCCAGAGCTCATTGTGGATTAGCTGTTATGTACTGAAAAAACACGTTTTTACCACTATTCTTACCATCAGTTTACAGCAATCTAGCGAGAATATTACGCAGATTCCAGAAAAGCCCTCAAGAAAGTCGTAAGCCATACCGGCTGAAAGGTATTTCCCAAATATATGTGGGATATCGTAGCGCAGGCAGCGTTCACTTGGCATTCATTCTGCTTTGGTCTGTGCAAGTGTTACACACACCAGTCATTTGATTTCAGTCGAAAGACATGTTGAGGTAGCAGTCAATGCAACCGAAAATGAAAGCGAGTTTCCATCAAGACACATCGTCTTTTGAATATTTACGGTTTTCTTCACGTGTTCCTCAAACGATAGGAATCATCGGTAACGTTTGTTGACGGGCGAATAACCCACCAGCGTTTCGTGCTTTACAGCAAAGCACACGTTTCTGGGAAGAAAAACCCCGTCGTGCCAGATGACTTAGGGCACATGCCCACATCTCAAGTGCAGTTGCTTGCGCGCTAAATTCACAGCCCAGATCCATGTCATTTTTTGCAATACCTCAGTTTTTGCACCACCTTGGAGCTATTCATTTCCACAACCTTCCAAAATCATCACAACAGACCAATCATAGGTCAGCTCCGCCAGAAGACATCGTTTCACCCCTTTATGTTCCTCTCTGGCCGGGCAAGTGGGAGCCCCACAGACACCACACGTCACCGCAAAACTCGGTAGTGGCGGGCTGGACATTGACTGTTTGACCCTCCCCCTCCCCTCCCCTTCTCCCTCGCCCAAACACCAGGCGGTGTCGGTCGGACTCAAAAAGCGGTTGTCCCCTCATTCCCCACGAGAACGAACACGGGACCAAAACAGCGAGCCGCTCGTCTCCGCAGGTCGAGTGCAGCTAGCTTAATCCTAATGCGTCCCACATCTGCGGAGGTCATAATCTGGCGTTGGCGCGTATTCCTCTCGGAGGTCCACGGCGGCCGTACGCCGCGGATCGCACCCTGACTATCGGGCGCCCCTCGCACGGTTGTCACACGGCAGGCACCAACCCCGCTGCTGCATCAGCGAGTGTGGCGCGCCCTGGGTCGCAGCATTTTAGAATTACGAGGCTGGCCTAGAAGCGGTTGGCGGCATGTTATTCGGCTGGTCACCAAAATGAAAAGTCCGCTGAAACCAACACCAATTTTCTTCTCAGGCTGCAGGCCGCTATCTCCATCCTCTCCAGAATATTAGCTGTGCTGAAGGCGGTGCCGCCAGTCCTTGGGAACCAGCGCAACATACCCATCGGTCGCATTGAACCCAGTGAAGCGTCACCACGATACAATTAGGTCAGGTCATCACGATCAGGTCATCATACAACAGGTAAGATAATCATGGTGAAGCAGCGACCGCAGCCGTTTAGCCGCTGACAGCTACTCTGAGGCGATCGCTGACAAAGCTCACGGAATCAACGAGCAGCCACCACGGCGGCAACTACCACATACACGACATCCGGGATCCGGACTCACTCCGGCGCGTTCCATCCTTTGTTGGCCAGTCCAAATGTATGTGAAGTCGGCAGCAGTCCAATATCCATTTTCAGCAACAATCTACGACCTCTTAGGTTTCACGACACTGGTGACACACAAAAGCCCAAGTGCACTGACAACATACGTGAGAGCTTTTTGTACGACATCGATTGGCTTGACCTCCAGCGGTATTTGGGGGCCAGCGAAGAAGAAGCGTTGAAAGAACATCTTGCATGTTACACACTTCGATCGGGACTATTACGCAGATTCCCGGAAAAACGTTAAAATAGTCCCAAGCTAATACGAACAAATCGCAATATATTCACAAAGTACATCTTGGGTTATATATAATATATATATATATATATATATATATATATATATATATATGGGTCAGGTATATCAGGTAGGTATATATAGGTCAGGTATAGGTATATATAGGTCATATATAGGTGCGATATATAGGTCATATATAGGTCATATATAGGTGCGATATAGGGCCCCGGCGGGGCCCTATATCGCAGTATAGGCGCACAGTCAGAGCCTTGACAGGGAAGAAGTACGGGGTTGCCAAAGGGCCTCTGATGATAAAAGCCCCCACCCCCCAAACCAAAAATCACCGAATATGGCCATTTCTTAACACGCGCCCGGGTGGCCAGCTAGATACCCTTCGCTCGGGGGGGGGTCAGTTGGACCCCCAGAGATCTCGGCAACTAAAAATCTAGAGGCACCAAATTTACAGGGTGTGTTCACCTGTACGTGAACTCGCTTAGGTGAAAGTTTCAGGTTCGTAGGTCATGACCTTCGGGTCAGAAAAAGGTCAAACAAGGTGCAAGTTCCAGGCTGGTTTCCAAGGTGCCTCCAGAACGTAGATAACCGTTTATAAGCAAAAGTCACATTCTCATTTAATGTCAGTGATCTTGTTTGACCTTTTGAAGGTCAAGGTGAACAAATCATACAAGATTGCTTTAAGTTTTGCATTTGACTAAGTGGCAAGACATTATGCTAGGCAGTATGTTCCTAAAACAAAATGTTGACCTAGGTCATTTTAGGTCAATGTCCTGTTCTGTCCTCTAAGAAGTCCATGGAAGATGTATAATGTGGTTCCTACAATCAATAAACTCTAAATGAGCATCATAAATTATCCCATACAGCAAACCCTAGAGTAATAAAACAGGTTGGTTTTGACCTTGGTGTGACCTTTATACCTGACCTTAGGTCAATGTTATTTGCTCATTTAACTGTTGTGTTGCCTAAGAAAGCATCTCAGATATGTATGGCTTCGTCTAACACTCCGTTGTTGGATCAGATTGAAGGATTCCCTAGAAATTGCCTTCGCTGAAACCATGGCCTGACTTTGACCTGCCATAGGTCAGCAATCTTACAGGGTGCATCTTATTTTTCATGTCAAACGAACCGCTATTAAATTGCCTATAATTATGCAAAATTTGGCGCGGCTACGCATGCCGTTCGGGTACCATTCTGGAAAAACCTTCGGGGCGTCAATTTGACCCCCACCCGAGAGCGTGTTCAATGAAGGCATGCTTTTTACATTTTTCATTTTTACGGTTATTGTTACGCGGGGAATTTTCCAATATACTGTATCCTATCGTCGTCGTCTCTTCCAGTTTGATTTCTATCAGTCGCATAGCTAGGAGTACCTGGCTCCTCGTTTTCTCTAGCAATATTGTCACGCTCACCCGACGAATTCCTCACCGAAAACAAACGGCAATCACGAGACTTCCAAAGTCAGCTGGAATAAAAACAACAAATGCCGCGACTGACTCAATTATTTGGATGAAGCTTCTGTATGGTTTTTGAAGTTATGTACTCGCACATGATATTGTGTAATGCATGGCATTATGAATACTTTTCTTGAGATAGCTGGCTGTATTCACCAATATGCAGTCCTTGCGAAAGAAAAACTCCTTGAGAATAATAGTTCACGGGTAATAATACTATTTGCTTAGATTAATTATGCATGCTGTTGTTAATGACGGCTGTTGACTAGATGGCCTACTGCATTGATCCGCAGGTTATTGCCATGGAGGGCAATTCCCTGTAATAAGCCAATTGGGCGACGCAAATGGTGGCGAAACAGTGGCGCACCGACATTACATGAACTTTTACGAAACAGATGCTTTCGTCCTAACATGGGCAGCAAACGTCACTTTACTGGGATTCCGCAACTAGCATTCATACATTCACACCATCTCACGTATGTTTGTCACCGGTCATAATCAAGGGAGACGTGTAATGCTGGCCGCTACACACAGTCTGCGCAGGTTATGTGCAACGAATCAGACCCCTCAATTATGAGGCGGAGCTTTTTTAGCCACGCACCGACGCTACCTCGGAATTCACACTATGAACGAGTAACGCCGGTGCCAAGGCTCACCGCGGCTCACCAGGTTAAGCCCCCCCCTCTATCTGTTACTGAATAATTCCGGAATTCCTCGTGGTCACTAACGCCGGAATACCACATCGTGCTCATTATACTCAGTCGCCGGAATCCTCACCGGTACGCCGGATACCGACATCGTCTCATTATCCTCATTCCGCGCGGAATCCCACCGGTACGCGAACCCGGAATACCACTCGGCGGTTAATATTTGTCGCCGGAATCACATGTTGGCACGGCGGAATCCCTCATCGACTCATACGTGCGAACCGCGCCTTCCGGGCGCTGTATAATCTACACTTTACCTCCAGTGACCGAATTCACTGCCGCTGCTCAGGGT